CTTCCACATGGTCAAGAAGAGCTGGGATGCTGAACCATTAAAAGCACGGGTACCCAGCTCTGCTCTTCAGCCAGGCACGAGTCTAGCTTCTCATACTACCTTCTGAAATGGGTATTTTTGCCAATAATCAGATATTTTAGTAAAAGCTTTTTCTTTTTAATCACTTTTTAAGATTTTAAAATAGAAGAAATTAACCTCATTTATGTCTTTTAAAAAATGTAATTACAAAGAAATACAAATACTGGATTTAGGCTCCTGATAAGTACCTTCTGTCCCTTTCTGTGCATGAAGTTGGACACTCCCAGACTCACAATATCACTTGAGAAGCATCAAATTACAATGATGGATAAGTGTGGGACAATGAGAAGCCCAGATCTTAACAGAAAATGCTTCCAATCAGTATTTTGACTTCAGTTTGTTATACATTTACTTGTGTAAATTATGTGTCTGAATTATAATTGGCAAATATTTATACCAGAAATTATTTCTGCTTGTCACTTACATTTAACAGTAGCTGGTTTTTGAAATAAAAATTGGGCTCGTTCTGAGCAGAATGGATCCTGGACCCCACATTCTGCCCTGGCCTAATGCTTCCCTGTACAAGTCTGATGCAGTGGGACATGCTGAGCCCCTGGGACTCTGCCCAAGGGACAAATCTGGTAGAAGTTTGTTCTGCAAGACCATTTGAGTATTTTATGACTTGGCTTTCTCTTTTATTGAGCCTGAATGTCAGAATACTAATTAAGTAGAGCTCAGACTCAAAGAAAATAGATTTTTCTGAATCATGTGTCCTTCAGAGCATTCTCCACAGTAGCTCCCTTTCCCAAAAGGGGCTTCTGAGGAAAGCTATCTGATGAGCTGAAGTTATCTCTGCTGGGACAGTTTCTGACATTTGGCTAGTTGTAGCTTTAAATCTCAGAAGCATTTCTTCCCCACATAACTACGTAGTGCATTTCACTTACAGGTGAAGTTGCAGGAGGGAGAATGAACAGGGCTGAGTCTGGCAGCATATCAGATATTTCCTGGAAGCAGACTACAGAGCCCCACTTAGGCAAGGATAGAATGATCTTGTGACTAGAAGTCCCCTATGATGAAGATAATGGCAGAAGCATTTGAATGTATAACTAATTTATGACAAGGCAAAATCTATAATCAAATTAATGTTTGTCTGTGCTTTCCTGGCCCATATCCTGTAAGTTCTACATCAGCTGCATTATTTGATTTTGTGGGACTGTTACATAGGTATTTCTTCTCTATGTATTTTTATATGAAAACTGATCGTTGATCTTGAGACACATCTCAACTGTCCTGTTCTCTGATGACACAATCAAAAAAAAAATCAATGTTTTCCTTTAAAGGGGAAAAAGGAGTGAAGGTTTACTAAACATGAAAAAGGAAAGTAACTTTTTTTTTGCCATTTACAGAGCACAAATAAAAATTAATGTCTGCAGTTCACAGGTCTAAGGAAGTACAGTGACTCAGCATTTAACTTACACAAAGGATTTATTATTTTCTGTCATACAGAAATCAATTAAGAACCTTCAGTATGTAGCATAGGAAAGAAGGGTCGTGAGACTATGCAACCATACAGATATTCCTGAAACAGAACACTATGTTGACAAGAATTTTTTTTTTTCAAAATAGGATTACTTAGGCCCCAGCTCGTTATCTAGATGTGGAAAGCAAGCGGGTGGGAAACATGCAAGCATTCTGTTTGAGAGCTTAACACCCTCCCCTTCCCTCCACAGGATTGAGTGGTCAAAATATTCCAGGACCATAAAGCCATGGACTACAGGTAGAGACTTTCTTTATCTGCATCCCATTATACATAGATTAATCTTGGTTGCTAGAACATGACAATCCAGAAAATAGAGATTGAAGGGTTTTTTTTCTCTACAGATACAGGAGGAGATTTTGTCATAGGCAGGAAGTTTGACTTAGAGGTGGGTCTCTTGTTTGTGGATATTGCCTCAATTTATGAAAGTCACAAAAAGCTTTTTCACTACCTACACTGAATCTGACATGTACACAGAGTTTGTCCTATCTATACTGATCTTAAGCACACTGATGATAACTCTACTGGCAGGATGTCATGCCACACTCAAAAGAGGGTTATTAAAAAGAGTAAAGAATGAAAATTATTTAATTAAGCACAACTGTAAGAAAATGGCAAGAATTCCTACTTTAAGGATTGCATAGGTGAGGATATTGTAGGTTAAAGTAAGTTGGTGAGATCAGTTTCAAAAATGTTTTATACATTTAAGGTACATGGGCCAAAATTTTTACTTCAGTAACTAGTCTTTCTGTCTAGATGCATAAATAACGTGATCTTTATAAATGTGCATGTGATACCACTAACTTCAGTAGGAGCTGAGAAAGAGTAGTCACTGTCACTTGAGTGCATAAATACAAAGTATGATGGACTACCTGGGTAATTGGACTGAGTCCCAAATTTGTGCATGTGAACCTCTGTTCAGGTTCACCAGAATACACACTAGTCCAGTTAACAGTCATGATCTCTAAGTATACAAACCCTATTTTGACCATTAGTGTCCTTGTTAAATGTATCTAGTTACTGAGTTATAGTCAGAAGACATGTATTCATATTTTACAGTGCAAAACTTCTGTTGCATGTAATGCAAAAAGTTAGGTTCTTAGGACTTTGATTTCTCTAACTGGACAGTCTTCTGAGCAGTCATTTAAGGAGAACAAGGAAGGAATTTAATGGAATTCCATTATTAATTATTTCATGCTTTAACTGCATCTAAATGGTTCATCAGGATTAGAACCGCATTAAGTTGAGTACTGTATAAAAACACAAGTATGCACAGTGCCTGCCCCCAGTGTCAGCTCCATTACCCCCTCTGAAAAGAAAATGTTAAGCTGAAAGCTAATCTGCAGATGTGGCTGTGGATTCACTTCTGTATTTGCAGAACTGTGGCTTAATGGAATGTACAGTGCAGATTGCAAAGAGAAGTATGAAAGGAAGGTCAAATGCAAGAAATAGGTGTGTGTGCATGCCTGCTCTGTATAGCTTCTTCTGGTTTTAGTTACCAAATGTAAAAAACCCAAAGAAATTACCAAACTCGCTATTTTTCCCCAGTTGATATCCAGTTTTTAGATAAATCACTTTTCTCTGTTACAGGTTTAGTTTATTTAAACACACAGTAGTAGTCAATAGGAAGAAGCAAAGTTTTAAATTAGCTAAAAAAGACATTTGAGTTGTCATTTCTCCAATGTTGAACATTAAATCTTATTTTAAAAAAAACGCATATAGCTTTTGTTCAAGAGAGAAAGATGAAAATCAGTATGGATTTTCTGTAAGAGATGAAAGCTTCTAATTATATTTGATATCAGATCTAAAAGCCCATTTCCAGAGAATCATCTGTTGTAATAAAGCTGCAATACTTCTCATTTTATCTTTTGTCCTCAGTTCCTATGTAGTCCTGGCAAGAATGTCATCCATCAATGTACAAATGTTAAATCACCGCAGTCATAAAATATTAAAAGAATGCATACAGTTATGACTCCTAAATTGAAGTCTTTCTAGCTGTAATTTGTCATACCTACAATTGTACAATGTTATTAGTAGAATAAAACTAGAAAACTATGAAATATATATATTGGAAAAATAGCATTTCTAGTACATGCATTAATATAGACAAGGCCTGACCTCATTCAGCTGAGGTCAACGAGAGGATTTTTTTGACATTAGTGAAAGCAAAATAATGAATTCCTAAATATCTTGGTTCTCAGCAACAGATGAACAACATAAGAGCAGTTCTTAATTCCTTCATGCAAAGGTTTAGGTTTTCTGGAGCAAAGTAGAATGAGCATGCTACTTATTATTTTCCAGATGGCAATAATATATATTGAAATATAGTGTCCTACAGTACGTACCTAAAACAGGTATGTGATTTTTTTTTAACATATTCCCTGAAACAAACTGATAGACAATGCCAGGGGAACACAGCCTAGGGGACAGTCTTTGTGAGAAACATGGGAATTTCTCTACCCCTAGTTCTTCTGAAAAAATAATAAAAATTGCCATCTCAAAAATTGAGTATAATTTTGAAATAATTATAAAACCTTAAAAAGTACAGAATAAGATTATTAAACATGTACACTTCAGTAATGTATCACCCAGAATTTAAAAATATTGCAAGCTAGCAGTAGTCAATTATTTCTTATACTCAATTATTTTCTAATGACACACAAAGTAGTTTTATTATAATGAGAATAGTTTAATCTCAAATATCTCTTTCCCATGAGCACTGTGTTTCTGCCTGCTAACTTTATTATTATTTTATATGCTATGGATGCTGATGAGGCCCTAAGAACCCCATCTAACTTTGAAGTTACCCCTATTTTAGTAGGAGGTTGGACTAAAGACCTTTAGAGGTCAGTTCATGCCTACATTTTCCTGTATTGCTATGATTTTCTGTAATTCTTTGATTCTGGAGGGAGCTTTTCTAAAGGAAAAACTTAAGCATTTATGAAGTGCCCTTTCCAATACCCTGTACCACAAAAGCAGATGTCTGGGTTTTTTATGCACTTATCTGATCAGTTGTAGCAGTCCAGACTGCCTGCTGATCTCATTTCATGCTTACTTATCTCTTCTGATCTTCACTGGATGTCTGTCTCTGCATTTCTTTTGCTACACTACATAAACATGGTAAAATCTCATGCATTGAAAAAAGCAAACCAAAATATATTGTTAACTGATCTGATTTTCTAACTGTTGTTTCTCTCTTAGTGGTTAGGCTTAGTTTCCTTCCTGCAGTTCTGTCAGGCTCTACCAAATTGCTGTCTGTTGCCTTTGACTCTGTGGGCCAATCTCTCATTTTGACCATAGTCCCTAGGAACACTTCCCTGATCAACCTCAAATCTGGTATTTTATACTCCTTTGCCTTGTGGGCTATGTTCAGTGAAGCCAGTGGTGAAGTTTTCCTTAAGTCCTCTCATCCTCATTTGACTCTTGCCTCCATATTTTTATTTCCTTTGCTTCCCTAATTTATTTTTAATAGATTATTTGGAAGAACTTCCCCCTTCCTCACTTCCTTGTACAGTTCCAAGCATCTGGCCTTCCCTTTTCTGTCTGCAGTATGTCTGTAGGTGACTTACTCCACAAATACAATTTTAGCTATTATCTATATGTAAACACCCTGCAGAGCTGCTTCTCCAGTCCAGATTAGACTCAAACTTTCCAAGTGGGGAAAAAAGTAATTATGTCTACAGATACCACTTTTGGAGGTCTAGTCTTTTTAAAATTTTAATACATTCATACATGTAAAACATCTTTCCTTATTTTTCACTTTCATAACATGTCTATCAAGGTAGGCCAAATCAGGGTCATTATCTGAGACTGATTGCCAAATCCCCTCCTTTAAATTTCACTGATAGTTACTAAACGTGGTGTTACTCTCTGTAGGATACAGACATCTGTGCCCAGTCACAGAACAGTCTCAGGTAAGCTGTCACTTGCACCTGTTAACTGCAACCTGGTCTTCTCAGGCTTTGACAAAGCAAATTCACTGCTCTTATTCCAAATACTACTGCAAGGGCAGTATTCTGACTGTGCCATCTTTTTAGTTTCCTCACTGACACCCCTTCACTGTTTCCTCAGATGCATCTATCTACCTTGTCTTTGCTTTACAGTTCTTTCAGGATCTCACAATCACTTGGAGCCTTCATTGCCTTTGATTGTTTCTCCATGGAGTTTTCAAACAAACCTGTATCCATTCTCTCCTGTTTTGGAGAAGAGGTGTATACAGTGATAAAATCACTGCCGGGAGGTATGAAAAGAACTCCAAAGAACTTGGGTGACTGATACTATTAAACAAATAGCTAACTAGACCTGGCTTAAAGCTTGGAAAATCTCCTGAAAGAGGTCAGAGTGAAACAGTTTAGGCAGCACATAAGGCTGGTCAGGAATATACATTCTTCCAGCTTCCTCACTATCCAGCCATCAAATCTCACCCTGAAGTTTTTCCTTGTCATAACACATACAGGAGAAAAAAACGGCTATTTAAACTGATGATGTGCTGAAACCATTGCTAATCAGCTAGACAAATATTGACACTTTCATTTTACTTTTCCATTCATGTGCATTTTTTTTTTTTTGTCTTTTGTCTTATCTTGGATTCCAACCACTCTGTGGGAAGTCTTTGTTTTTGCTCTTTGTTTGTACAATGTCTAGCCAGTGGGATGCTGGTCTGATTAAGCCTCACAGGCACTCTAGTAATGTGAATGAAAAACAATACCACTTTCTATTCCTGCTACTTCTGCAGACACTATTTGGCTGTGGGAAGCTGAATTCTATTGCTGCCTCTGTACCAACTGAACAATACCATATCCTAATCAGTGGTCTGCTGCAAAACTGTTAAAGGAATTGCAACAACATCACTGGGGACTTGATAATTTAATTTTGATACAGATGAAAAAGTAAATGCAAAGACAAAAACTACAATTAAAAAAAACCCTATATGTGATTGTATTTCATACAATAAGCTTGAAATTTTGTGTCAATTTTCACTGTCATTTTATCAATGCAGTAAGAAGTTAAAAATATGGGCAAAGCAAAAAATAGACAAAAGGATCCCTTCTTTCACTTTCTGTCACTTCTCCTTTCCATCACCTCATCTTGTTTAACATGTGAATGACCACTGTCAGAATATCATCAGGATTTTAAAGCTGATTCAACTTTTTGGTAGACAACTTCTACTTTAGTGCTTTACACAGACATTAAAAACCACTATTCAATACTTAGCATCTTTTACTATGGCCACTACTATAGTTCTCTATTTTACCCAAAAGATTATCACCTACTGATGTACTTTGTAAATGCTGAAGGTGAAAAAACAGGTTTTCTTGATGTTTTGTACTTCTAAAGGTGGTTCTAACTCCCACCATATGAAGACTGGGTTAAATACAGAGTATTACATTTATAATATTTTTGAATTGCAATATCTCAGACTATTTATCCTGCTGCTAGAAGAGCAGATGAAAGATTTTTATGATGAGACTGAACATCTTCCTTCCACGAGTTTAGAGTCTTCCACTGACAGAAAGGAAGTTTTTCCTTTTTTTTTTTTTCCCTTACCTTGATATTAAGGAACAAGATAAATTTCTTCCTCCATTCATTTTAAGAATAAAACATTATTTTTACTTTTATACCAGAAATTTGGCAAAGTGCTTTGCTAGATAAATTATTTTGCCTCAAAGATCTTTATTCTGTCAAATCCAAAGTCATAACTTCTTTAATCATACGCTAGGGCAGAACTGAGTTTCTGACTATGAACAAAAAGAAATATAGTTTGTCAAGGTAAGGTGCACCGCTGGAATTGTGCAAAAGCTTGCAGAACTGACCATGTTATCAGTGGTTACAGTCAGCTTAAGCTGTGTACTCTATGCTTCAACCAAAATAGAATGTTACTAGCCTTTTAATCCTATATAGCACCCACTTCTGAAGGCACTTCTGTTAATGACTAAGAGGAGGTAGAATAATTCATTTTTAGATTTTAAGCTGTGTGAAAGACAAGCACTACTGTTTCCATAATGCAGATATCCTAAGAGGGTCCAATCTCTGCAGGGAAAAAACCCCTCTATGTTTCTGAAAACATAGGTAAGAATTACAAAAAGTTTTCTCCTCCCCTGTCAATCAGAAAGGAGCCACAAGCAGCAAAATTATCTTTATATCCTATTTAACTGAGTCAAAAGAAAGGTTAAGGATGGCATTTAGTCTTAATTTATGAAAGCTACGCTAGAGATACTAATGAAAATGCAATAATCCTATTATTACTCCCAAAAATGTGGCATCTAGGAAAACACACAAAACCAAATTCCTGAGAATCTTGCTATACTTCAGCATGAGAACATGCAAGTGTAATTAATTAATGCCTGAAGTTAATTCTAGTTAAAATCAGACCTCAGATGTAAAAGTGACCACAACTTCAGATGCAGATGTACTTTTGGAGACATCAGACATGCTGTTTCTTAGAGCAGGAGCAACATTCTACCAACTCCTTTGAATTCATGCACTATGCAATTTAAAATATTTACTTAAATATGTGCATTTTCATGAAAGAAACAGTGGTCTTCATGCAGCACAGACCCTCTGAAGTCTTATAGTTGAAGAAAAGGCAATTAAAAAAATTTATTGGAAGCACCTAAACAAAACAAACCAAAATACAAAAATCAAATCTGGAAGAAACAAATGAAACAAGCTGCTCATATTAATAAGGCCTAAGGCAGATTCAGATTGAAACATTTTCTTTGAATAAAAGTATGTTTTTCTGTCATTTAAAGTAGTGTTGGCACACATCACCTTTTGACACAACCATTCTAAATCTTTATTGTTGTAAAATGAAGTCACCATATTGGGGGGGGGGAAGGAGAGGAATAGGTCTACTATAGTGCATTTATCTTTAAATTTTTGATCAATGAGAACATTAAATGTCAAAAAAGAAGATAAAAGGGAAGGCAAAAACCCAGACTCTTCTTTCATGTCATCTAGTTTTTCTAACAATTCTAGAAAATACATGCTCAAGTTCATTTTTAGAAAAGACATATATTTAAGTATTGAAAAATTACTGTACTTGTGATTTAATCTAGATGATAAGTTAACATATTTACCTCATTTTATCAGAAAGATTGCCTTAGTATCAAGAATTGCTCGTTCTTGACTGATGCAGTATTTCATTATGGTATGGAAACAACTCATCAAAAATAATTTGAGGAATGGGTTGGAGTTCAGTTGCAAACAGGTGAAACATTAATGATGGGTTTCCAGTTCAAGAATTGTCCATTCCCCTTGAGGGGAGGAACAGTCTTCAGATGAAAAGCTTGCCACTGTAATGCTTGCTGAGGAGTCGTCAAGTGGAGACATGAGTTCAGTCCACCTACTGAATGTGTCAACTTGTGAGGTACCCTGAGGATTCGAACCATCGCGTGCCAGAAACAGTGTCTGATTGATAAGACATTGTGCTAAGTTAAGGTCTTCAGGAAGAGAGTTTTTGAAATCTATATTTGAGTCCTGCTCAGATAACAATTGCCTGAGTAGAGTCCAGTCCTGTTCTGCAAACTGTTGATCTTCAAAATCCATCTCTAGAACTGCTGTTTCTGAATCCATCCTCTGCTCAATTGCTTCTCCAACATCCATCTCGTATATTGGAGAAAGGGTTTTTGAAGGCCGATGTTCATATATGCAGGTTTGTGCCATTGTGTCATAATCATCTATGTCTCCTGAAATAATTCACAATACTGTACAATGTAAAAAATTGTAGATGATCCTCCCCTCAGGGCTGTGTAGAGCAAAATTTAATTCATTCAGGAAGGACAATCCAATCAGGTTAAAAAAGGGGGGGATGGAGGGTTATACAAAATTGACAAAATTTGAGGCATTTATTTCCTATATAAAAAACAAAGTATGATTTATAAATTAAGTTAAAGCAGCAATCACCACTGGTAATTAACAATAACCTCCATAATTAAGTTTCTGATACAGAAAATGACAATGTAAATATACACTTAATGCACATGAAATTCCTCATTTACTACATAAATTAAATTTAGACCAGGAGGTGCATAGAGGGAATTAATAGAGAATGATTACTGAATGGTGACTTAAGCTATGTCAGCTTAGAAGAGAATTAAAACCAAAATTGTTTATCCACAGGCTTATTTTTATACTGCACATGCAAGGGCAGCTGCAAGCAAGGGCAAGCAAACTTAAAAAAAAGTAGTACAACTTTTAATGTCTTCTTGTTCTGTGGTCTGGCTGAACATAGATCATCATCAGTGTTTCATTACTCTCGAATACACAATAGTTGTAATCAACACTATTGTATATTTTTGATGGGATAAACAGACTGAATTATTGATATAAAGAAGACAAAACACAAAACTAGACAAGTATTCATCTAGCTACATGAAACAAGTTAGAATTTTTTTTGTATATAAGCATCAGTTCTAAGTATAATCTCTCTTTAGGAAATAAGCTTTTACTGGTAAAATTTAGAATTTTAGACATCTCATAAGCTCTAAAGCAGAGTTCAAACCTATTCCCACTGGTGTATATGGCAAATATTCAGTTATATTCAGTGGGAGAATGATCCAAATTTGTATATAATATATAAATAAATAAATTACAACAATAATGCATATAGCTGTTTAGGTAAACAGTTCAGTGCGCTTTAGTTAAGGTTATTACTTTAGTTATTGCACATCCCATTCAGACATACTATATGTTGTCAAGCAGACAAAACAAAGACTAAGATTCCATCAAAAGCTGATGCTGTCAATGTTAGATTGGATCAAAAATCACTGAAGTACAGACAACTGCATCCAATCTTTCTTTTAGCATTACAGAAAATCTCTTGTAGTCACGTTTCTCATTGAACAGCAGGGTATTGACGGATATTTCAAACAGACAAGCATTCTCTACCCAAGTGAAATACTTAAAAATATTTAAATACTGTTTCAGCCAAAATTACTTCAGTTCAGGATTCAATCCTAGACAAATTGCCAAAGCTTTCCCTATTAATTTGGTTTTGAATGACTCAATGTTTCTATTTCTACATTACCTGGAAGTAAATCAGTATTAGCGCATTCAGTAGTTGCTGGTTGACTGTCTCTCACTTGACTTTCTTGAGTCAGCATCTGATTCTTACTGGCTTCTACAGGTTTTGCAGAGCTGCTCTTTTGCACATCAGAATTAGTTTCTCTCTGCTGAAGATCCAGATGACATGGTCTTTCTTGAGATTTTGCATCATTGTCTAAGTACTTATTGCATGTGTGAAATTCACTAGCAACCTCATTTTTCATATTTACTTGCTGGTTTTCTCCTGGATGTGGACTACCTGCTGAATATACTTTCTCTGGGCAATTTTGTTCAGTCATTGAAGCACCTTGATTGTCCTTTCCTGGGATTTCAGTACCACGAAGATGCAGGACAGAACTTCCAATTTTATCCAATCTATTGTCTCTATCCTTTTGCTGTTTGCCAGCCAGGAATCCCTCTTCAGTTTCCAATGAGTATCTTGAATAAAATGTCGTTCCGTGGTGCTCTTGAGAAACACTGTCAAATACTTCTGAAGGAGTAAGAGAATCTATTGAGTGCTGACGTGAAGTGTGAGTTTCCACTTTATCATCAGCTCCCAATTCCTCACATTCATCTACTGAAAGTAAAACAGAGCGTTTGAAATTTTTAGTTTTAGAGAACTCCTGACTTGCAGTATCATTTTCTGTTGCATCCTCAAAAGCTAAATTATCAATTCCTTGGAACGGTTGAGTAGGAACATTTGACGGGGGAAAGTTTTCTGCAACGTTCTCTGCTTCAGATCTGTCATCTTCAGTTTCATCAGCAGAAGAAGAAACTTGGTCTGCTTCCTGAGTGAACTGTGCACTACTAAATGTAGAACTTTTGCTTTCTCTAGTAGTGGTCCGTGAACTCTCTTGATGGGACCAAATTTTTCTTGGTATTTCATCATCACTTGTTGAATTAACACGAAAGACATCAGAACTCTCTTTTTTCACTTTCACTTCTATTCTTAGGCTGCTATCATAAATTTTTAATTCCTCAGGTGTACTTGTGTCACTGCTGCTTCTTCCAAGAAAATCATGACATAACATAGTACTGCATTTAGAAATCCCTCGTTCATTGGATCCCTCATCATCCTGAGAGCCTCCGGCATCATAATCTTCTGATCTTGGTTTTATATCATCAGATGATGTGGTTGCACTGCCAGTATCGGATTCAGGACTCTCTTTTGGATCTACAGCACCAGTATTCCAATGGTCCACAAAAGGAATTTCTGCATTTTCATGGTTTTCTGGCATTTCCATAGGCTCTATAAGCTCTGTGTAATTAGGTGAATATTTTTCTGTTATTTGTTCTGTGGAACATTCTGAAGCATCATCTAAATCTGTTGCAACTGATTTATATTCAGTCAAGGCTGATATATCACACAGTTCATCAATTGTAAGAAATCCTTCCACATGGATCTGAGAAGATGATGTCTCATCATCTTTATTGGTTACTTGGGAAAAGCTTGACAAAACATTTTCACCATAATTACGACTTGTTTCAGAGTTTATTTGATCACTCTGTTCATTACAGACTTTTGTTGCTTTTGAATCTTTTACCAGTTCTCCTAAAACAATCACCTTTTGATTGGTTTCCTTGGAAAAGTCTGAATATCCATCATTGGAAGACTCTGCATGACAGTGAAATTCAGCTGTATTATCATCTTTGTCTGGATCTTCAGTCTTTCTAATTCCAGTCTGATCTCCATAGATTTGTCTTGTTTCCATGTCATTTTGTATTGAAACATTCAGTTTATAAATAGTTTCTTCTGCAATTTGAGGAGAAGATTCGGATTGTATTTTGTATTGCACAGTTTCAGAAGAATCTGGTAATTTTTGTCTATTGGATTGACAGGACTCCAGCAATTTATTGTCATGAAGCTGATCTGCCACAGCATTAGCTGTGTTTTTCTCAAGTTTCTGTCCTGAACCTTTGTGCTCAGTGGTGTGCACATTCTTTTGGACAACAGGACAATCACTCCTTGAATGCTTCTGGGCAGAGGACTGAGATTTTAATACAGCTGTTTTCTGTTTTGGGTCTTTACTATTCGTAATCTCAGCATTTTTTGATGGAGCCAGAGTCTTAGGTGTTACTTTTGAAGTGGTTTTTGTTGCAGGTGTTTGTGATTGTTTAATACTCTTCTTCTTAGCTGAAGGATGTTTTTCTGGGACTGTTGTCTGAACCAGGTGTTGTAACATGTTTTTTTCTTCATTATGTTTTGGAGACATTCCTGATTTCAGTGAATTTGGTGATTCCCCCTGAGGTCCTAACAAACAGTAAAAAAGACTATAAAAGTTGTATGTGCCACTCACAGTATATTCACCAATTTTATGTTAATGTTTGTTTATGTTAAGGAACAAGTTACTCAACTTTTAATGTAACTAAGGGATTTAAGGCTTGTTAAAGCATTAAGATTTGAAATAATAAATAGTAGATAAAAATACCATCTTGGCACCTTTAAGACAGAGAATATGCACACAGGAATCACTTCAGCCTGTAACTGAAGTAGTCATCCCTGCAGTAAAAAGCAGCAGCTCTCTAATAATGCCTACAAACACTACACAGCAGCTTAGCACAGGAAGTAATGAGTACTGTATTCAATTTATATTGTAGAGGAAATGAACAGAGGCAGAAAATAATTACATTAGGTTTAACGTGATTAGAATACCAGAGTTAATGTCCCAGCTCAGTCAGAAAATACTGCAAGATCTTTAATGACCACAAATTGACAGAACCTGTATCTTCTATATCACAGTGCATTTAAGATAATAAAATTTGACTACTGGAGCTCCATCCTTAACACCTTGTATCCTTCTAAAGCAGTTTTCTTCTCAATATTCTAGAGTCATTTCCTACCCCTGCTATCAGTAGCTGTTGAAATTGAGTATTTATCTGGGGCCAGTAGCAGTAGCACTACTGAGAGGGGGAAATAGGAAAAGACCAAAATAGGGAGGCATAAAGCAGTCTGCAGTCCAGATCTTTGAGACTTATTACAGATGCTCGACCTACAGAATGTCTGTTGAGCTCAGTCATGGTTCCAAATGCGGAAGTGCAGGGGATCAGCAAATAGAAGACTCTGCAGTGCAAATTAAACAAGCAGAAGAAAACACTGACTGGCAGTGAAGACTGTCTTTGAAGTGTTTTGAAGTTGACACATTAATTTGCATTTTACAGTTTAGGACTGTCACCAAAAGTGAAATATGGAAAAAAACCCCAGAATTCTCCAGAAGATTTTTCCAAACAATTGTGCTAAAAACCAAACCTCAAAGCTTTGCATAATAGTGGCAGATCATTTAACTGTGGTATGAAACTTTACCTTGGTTCTTGGGAGAATTGGTAGGTGTGTTTTGAGTCTTTTGCTGTGCTGCAGAATTCATACTCACATTCCCTTTTTTCTTTAGAACAGCTTGTACATTTTGCTCATTACACCCTTTTCCTGTTGCTTTTTTTGTCAGACTGCAAAGAAATCATTACATCCATTATTTTCAGACTTCGATCTAGCAATGTTTCATTATATTTAAACAAGAAATATATGTGTTTTAATGTGCACACATATATAAACATTGAAAATGCAACCTAAAAAGTAAACTTTTTGAAAATAAAAATTAAATATATATCTATATTTTGAATTTATATACAAACATGGATATATAATAACCCATTTCACAATTTCACTTCAGCTGTCTCCTGTTCAGTTTAATCTAAACTATTCCAGAAATGGTTTACAACACCTTGTGTAGTCATTAACTGTTCCAGTATGCAGAATTCTGAATGACCTATAACAATTTAAACATTATTAGCATGCAGCAGTCCAACACAAAAGCCAAACCAATTTTATCTTTACAGAAGTGTTGCCAATAGCTAACTCAAACTGCTTTGCAAATAACATCCTACAGACAACCATTCTCAGAGTAAAAAGAACACCTAATGGTAAACTTAATAGTCCACCTGAAACCTTTCTTGCCAAAATCATACACTTATTCACACAGCTATGAAGCAGCACTGAACAGCTTTGTAACATACCTGCTTGTTGTGGCATTAGCCTCAAGCTCAGTCTTTTTATTTTTGGTGGTGACTCCATTTGATACCTTCACAGATACCTTTGTTTTCACTACTGTAGAGTAAATTCAAAGTTAATTACACAGGTAAATGCATTGCAATATAAGTACTGAAAAAATCTAAAATATGAAGATCAGTTATTGAGAAGCCCATATATGCTAAAGATGTAAAATGTTTACTGTTTTAGATGGTTATTAATTTACCAAAAAGTCAGTTTATACTCAATTACAGGGGAGGAATGTAACTCTTATCAATTTATAGTAGATTGTCTTAAAGCTTTCCTGGCTGGTTTTCAGTGTATGCCAGCCTGAGACCAATCAGAAGAGGAATTAAAAAAAAAAATTCAAAAAATTACCAGTCTGTTTTTTCCCCTCCTCTACAGATTTATCCTCTTTGGGTTCCTCTGTCTGTTCACTCGCAGTCTGGATGTCCATGTTTGAATTTGCTGACTTGCTTGAAGTTGCTGCCACAGTCACCAAGGAGGGAGATTCCTTCCCTGTGGTTTTTTTCAATGGCTTTGTTTTGTTCTGCATGCTTGAGGTTACTGTCAGCACTTTAGGTCTGGCACCTGCAACTTTTCCTTCATGGTTCCTTAGTCCTTTGCTACTTCCTGAATTTTTTTGTCCACTTGCAGATGATGTCTTTTCTGTATCTTGCTTGGTAAGCATGCTTTCAGCCTTCACATTTCCATTATTTTCTATTTTTGTCTTTATAACAGCTCTAGCCTTTGGCAGAGCAGCTTTTTCCCCAGGTTTGGAATCCTTAGTAATCTTGGAAACTAATTTTTTGCCATCTTTCCCCTTAACATCCTCATGCTTTGAAGTCTTACTAACAGTGTTTCTATTGGTTGATGCATGTCCAGATGCTCCTAATCCATCAGATTTCATTTTATCCCGATTAGTGGAAGAATCTCCCAAGCAATCTTTCTTGCTCTGTTCTGCCCAGGAAGTATTCCTTAGACCAACAGATGCCGTAGTAGTTTTATTTAGCTAGGGGAAAAAAACCCAAAAAACTGGCATCAGAAAAAAATCCAAACAAAACATACTTTTAACACCAAGCTATCCATAATGTGTAATTTCTGAAACACATCTACTTTTAAAATAGTACATGAATCTAAAGCAACAAGATTCAACATAGAAGTAATTTTTTATGTATCTATGTATATACATACACACACATTTTAGCTCAGTTTGCTGGCTTTCAAGAATATTAAAGTACTGCTCTATGTAGAGGAGACAAATATCTGAGTTTCACTTTTACTTTGGACAAATTACTCTGTAATATTTACTTATTTATATTATTTGTGTCTGCTTAAGAAATTTTTTTGAGTTATATGTGCGTATTTTCCAAAAAGGAATAAAGACTACGCATTATTACAAACATAAGGACAAAAATTATTTTTCAACATGTGATGATTTTAACCATTACCAAACAGTGTATCCACAAAAATGTCAGTATTGATTCTCTCAGGTAAAAAGGAACTCAAACATGGAGAATTAAGTGCATGAAAGGGAATCTTTGTGATACCAGCGTCATTGCAATGTATGCAAGACTGTCAAATCATGTGAAACCCATACTAGTTTTTTATCAATTAATGACGTGGTTTTGAGTGTGAGTTTCAACAGAAGAGTTATTAAGGGCACCAATAAATATTTTTCAGAGCAGGGAGTGTAACAGACTCAGTGTTGTGGTGGCTTGTAATAATAGCAAATATTCATTAGCTCAGTAGCAAACCATTTGCTCTGGGAAACAGATGAGTTTCATTATGTAGCAAGAGAGGAATGTGAGGTTCTGGACACAAATTCCTGCCTTTTATTTGGGCTGATCTGTTTGAAAACTTCACAGAACACAGTCTGAGATGTTTCCAGTAATCATTACTGATTCTGCAGAAACGGTTTACAAGAAAATACAGATTTTTCAAAACCAAGTTCCATTAAGCAGTATGGAAAATAAGTGTTAATTTAAACAAATAATGAAAATAATTTTGTTTGCAATTATCTCAATGTTTTAAATGTTTGGATATAAATGTTTACCTGAGAACTGGTGAATACAGGTTTCTTGCCAAGTCTTCGGTCATCACCCTTGTCAAATGCAGCTGTAAAAGGAACAAGCAGTTTCTTCACTGTTTGGTAGGAAAGAAGGGTGACAGAAATCAAGCCAGCCTACTCAGTTAACATCATGTGAAATCAGAAAGCGCTTCTTTGGGTCCTGATTTACTCTAGAAAGGGTAATTTTGGTGACATGGCAAATGTTAAATGAAAATACATGATTTTATGTTTGGAACAAAAAAAGTGGGATCTACAATGACACCACATGGCCATAAGCAAGTTACTTAACTCTTCTGTTTCCCCATGTCCATTTTCCAAGTCCCCATGTCCACTTTTGTCTATCCAAGCTCAATTCATTTATAGCTAGCAGTGCACTGAGACCTTTAAAAGTGTACAAAATTTACAAAAAGACACCTTCAAATTTAGAGTATAATGGCTTTTAAGTGTATTGTTAATTATACAGTATTTATTTATACTATATAGAGGAAAGATTAATTACATTAAAGTGAATGATACTAGTTTTCAAAATTGGCAAAGCCAAAATACCTGAATGTACACACTAAGGTCATAGTGCCTCTATGGATAGCATGCAGCGTAATGTCATGAGAATTATCCCTGAGATTGTCATGTGGAGTTTTCAGGCAGTGAATGCCTTATTTTTTTTCATCTGATGTACTCTGGGAGGAAAGCAGTTTTCAACAAAGCTTTTGAATCAATTGCACTTATAGAACACAAAAGGGATATTTATAGACACTGTACAGACCCAGAATCGATAGGTTTCATTTATGTCTGTATTCACATTTCAACTAGAAAAAAGGTTTTGCAAAAAGTAGATAAAAATCTAGGCATTCAATGCCTCATGTTCTGAGGTACTATACATGGAAACATTTTTTGTATGTATAATACAAAAATTCTGCTGAATTCTTGCTAAAGATACTAAAAATAATTTTTATATAAGTCTCTAAAAATCACACAAAAGGTATGCTGAAAATGGCACCCCAGGGATCTAATCCTTTTTCTAGCAATGACTCTGCATATTAATACATACCAATATATTAGACAAAATCCTTATAAACTTGTGCCTGAGAAAACACAAGACAGGCTGTAAATGAAAAAACCACAATATTATCCCTCTTATTTTGGCATTTTTCCTCCTCTGTTATAGCCTTCTAAAACTATATAGGCTAAATTTCTAGGAGAAAAGCCACCACTAGAAATCTTCAAGATGAAAGTTGATCTAAGTTATCTACATGTATTTCCCCTGAAGATTAAATTTTATCTAGCAATACTGTATGATTGCTTTGCCTGTAATTAAAACCAGGTAAGTCACGCAAACATTTCAGCCTTTTCATATATAAAATATATGCAACTTCAGTCAGAATTTAACCTAAAAGAAAGCAAAATAATTTTTGCCAATATGGAGTTCAGAAATATAAGACACACCTTGATTTTAAGTATTTTTTTCTACTGAAAGCACTAGTGTAAAGTAGCTGAAAGATCATTCACAATAGAGACATGATCATCTTAAAAGTAAACCACCCCAAATCAGAACAACCCACCCATTTTTCTAAAACAAACTCCTCTGCTTCTGAAGGATTTTATAATCACGAAGAAATCCTATCACTGTTCTACAGAGTAGCATGAGATATTACTTGGCTACATTCCTAAATCATGCTTAGAAAAGACTGTCACTGCATCTTTCAGTATGTAATTGTAGAATCACATTTTCATCTACCTCTAGGTATATAACTATTATATCCTTGCTACTAATGTCTTTAAGGAAAAGGATATAAAAACATTCATGCCTCCTTTGAAGTGATTTGAATTCAGAGAAGTATTTAGTATTCTTTTCTTTTACAACACTGTACTGTCAAAGCTAATATTAAACCATAACCTGAACTCCATCATCAGTTCCACATCCTCAGAATACTCGTGTACTTCAAAACAAAGGAGCATTCAGAACAAAAACTCCTTTTAGTTGGAAGTGCTGTCTGTTAAAATGTTGAGAGCACACCATGCAGCTCCTTAGGGGCTCTCTGCAGCAGCACACACAGGATCACAATGCCAGTCAGCCGAGGAGCCCAGCTATCTGCATTTGCTCACAGTGCACAGGATGAGCATTATGCAAGAGACGAGCAATATTTATAATCATGCAGAAAACGATAAAGGACAGAAACGGAATTCAGGGAACGGATAATCTGCTTTGTGCAAATTTAATTCATCCACAGCCCTTATCTCCTTAAAAATGAGGCAGATCAGGTTTTTAATCCTACTGCAGTGTTTCCTGTAATTTAGAGTAGCTGTAAATAAGAATCCATCTACATGATGGTGGGGGGTTCTATCATATATATACTCCTAAAAAGAAAAGCAGGGAAGACTCTTCACAGAAAATGACTTACTGATTCCCATGTTTGAAACTACCTAAGCATGCCATCATGCTTCTATTGTAAAACACCACTTCAAAACACAAAGCAGCACAAATTTTCCTTTAATTTTTATCAGGCTCCACAATTCCATCTGCATTGTATCCACTGAACAGATTGCTAAAAAATTCTAATGCCACTTGATGCCAGACATACCTGCTTGTATTTTCTGTTGATGGTCTGGCCTCATCAGCTTCCAGCCTTCTGTGTGACGAACAGCATAAAAAGACTGAACCAGGAAGACCCAGAGCTTATCACGCAGCGCCTGGATCGTGCACGTAAAACCCTGTGTTCAAGTAACAAATCAGCAGCTGGCAGGGGCATATTGTCATAGCAACCAGTCATTATTCCTTTCAGAATCTACTTACTCCCTAAGCTAGATCAATGATGTCATCACTTATATTTTATAACGGTCTGGTAGATGGAGATGCTGTTTTTGAAGGATTATTGCCCACCACAGTGATTTTTTTCCTATAGTTTAAAACCTACAAATTACAGCACTCGTAAACACTACTTTGCTCTCATTGCTCTTTTTTTCCTTTTCTTTTTTTTAAATGAACCCCATAATAGCTCTTCACTGTCAGCTGTGTCACAACAAGGTCAAATACTCCAGGGAAAAATAATGTATTTGATTAAATTTTCATTGCTTTGACCAAGTAAATCTATAATAGCACCAGATTGCAGCAATTAATGTTTCATTTATTTTTTATTCTTTGTCATACTATTTATGAATTGTTCCCAGAATAAGTCAACCACAGATTAAATGTCATTATTTAGATTGTGTGAATATACACGGTATATTACACACATGGAGCCTGACGCCTCCACCCAATCCAAAAAACACACACTGGGTTAACTGTCAGTCTGTGCTTTAGAAGACAGTTTAAAACAAAACCAAATGTACCTGTGACCTTCACAAAAAGCAGAGGAAATAGTGACGGAGAGAATAAGCTCTCTTCCACTGCACATTTTAGGTAATGCAACATTTTGCTAAGTTTTTCCCTTATCACAAATTTAAAGTGATAGTAAAGATCAATAGGGCAGTGTTGCCCATATACATTTTTAGTAATACACAGGAATTTTTTTATTGCCAGGATGGGGTTTCTTTTTAAAGTAAACAAATGCCAATGTTTTCTGTACTTCAAAAGGACCTTGGATTTATGCAGATGCCTTTCTGTTTGACCCCAGTTGCATGACTGAGCCATCTGAGCTCACACCATATCATCTGATTTGAACCATGACATGAAACTGTACCAGAACAGTTTTTCTACAAGCACTGCACATTTAAGAACCTACCATCTCCTTCACATTTTCGGAGTCCAACAACATATCCACTGCTACAAGAAGAAAGCAGCTATTTTCATTATTAATGCTTTTTTCAATTGCATTGAAAATTAGTTCTAGGAGGTCAGGTTTGCTGCTCATTGCTTGTGCCTGAGGAAACAACAAAAGGCAGTAGTTTAAAACAAAAGCGTGTACTTTGTATGCAAAAGCATTACTGAGCAGAGAGGATCTGCTATCAAGCTGTGCAGGAGGTATTCCAAAGCTGAGCATCTTCTTTTGTATCCATTCCACAACCCCACCCCTCTCCTGGCCTTCAGGAAATTATTCTGAGGCTTCGTTCATTAACAGAAATTTTAGGAAAAAGCACACTGTGATGAATTTACAGCCCCATGCAAACGCTGGATCCAAAGGCAAATTTTTTTAACATTTCCCTCTTTATTTTTTTTCATTCCTCTGTACATATTAGAAAACATGATTTCACAGGAGAAATGAACTGGCTGGGTGACTTAGGTAAGTTCTCAGCACCTGCAGCGTTGCCACATTTGTGGAACTCGCGACAGAAATCAGCAGAAGTTTGAGTACAGTGTTCATACTCATAATCTTGTAAATCCAGGCTGTTTTTCCAGGAGTCTGAAAGCTTTTTCAAAGCTGATATCTATACTTTTTGCAACAGAGAAACTGTCCCACTAAACCAATTGGAACTTTTGCTTAACTGAAGCACGTAACCTGAATGCAGTATTAGCACTGTGCTTACATGCTTTAAAATAAACCTGAAAAATCCACCCCTCAAAACTCTTAGCACTGCCTGAGTTTTGTTGGGTTTTTTTCTTTTTTTTTTTCTATAGAATTGTACTTCAAAGCAAAAGCTGAGACTATTTTGGTAATTTAGCAGCCTGATCTTTCAAAAATGTGATATAATTCAATTTATTTGGAAGCATATAAGAACTTGAAGGCACTTTTACCTGCAACAAAACAGAGAAGCCTTCACTTTGTACTACATATAGGAAGTTTGCAACAATAAAGGTTACACATTCCTCATGTAGCTGTGATGCCAAGGCCACAGCTGTCTCTGTCCACTTCACTCGGGGCAGGCTATTGATCAGCCGGTCACTCTCCATCAAACGGAAAGCAGCATTCTCAGGGGTCTTGAAACAGAAACAGAAATTAGCCTGTTGCCAAGCAATTACCTAAAGAATTGCTGATTGTAAAACAGCATCTGTTCAGTTACTGAGCTTTTACATAGGGATCCAATCATGTCATTATTTCCCTTATTTAAATAATTTTTGGCATTTATACTTGTTAATATTATATGTGTCTTTGAAACTAAAGCAGAAAAAGAAATCTCTATTGGTTCAGTTTTGCCTAAAGTTAGGTAGTAAAGTTTTAAAGTTTCCAATAGCTTTTATTATATTTTTTCAACTGCATCATTACAACTGTGTCATCACATACTGCAGTCCTGAAGAAAATAAGGCAAATGTTAGCTGGAGAAGCTGAATAGAAAAAAGGATCATAGGTCATTGAAAGATGTAATAAATTCTTGAATAAAACTGCTGAGTTGGGGTTTTAGGTGAGTGTGGATGGCCTAGCATTCAGGCTACAGAAAAAACCTTTTCGTAATTATGAATCCTTTTGCTTTAAAGGAGTCAGACAACTAATATTTGTCTTCCCAGATAGAGTTTTAACTGAACTTACCCTCTTTGTTGTCTAAGTTTCTCAAAGAAATGAAACTTTTATGTTTCTAGTTACATTTCAACATGCAGACAGATGTTAATATTTATTATCCTGGTCTGTGTCTTTGGTTCTTTCATGCATTGCATCAGCACAGTACCTGAGGGCAACTTTACTGGCTAACACGATACTCGAAAAGAACTTGGAATTTATGGTTATCCACATTAGAATAGCCTGAAAGCTCTATTCAATGTGACCTAGCAGGACACTGCTAAATTATGCAGTAACACTTGAAAAAGCAACAATTCAGATACAATTTGACACAAAAAACCCATCCTGCAAATTCAGATCACAATAACATTTGTCCTATGAAAGTTAGCAAGGAGTGCCTTCTTTGTGCATATTATAGTTAAAAGATAAAATCTAACCATCCATTATTAAAATATATTTTTAAAATTATTTTACTAATCTCTGGGCAAACTCAGTTTGTTCTCTGCAGATGACATAAATTAAGAATTACATTATATATGCTCATGGTTTGATTTTGCTCCCACTGGACTCAGTTACAACCTTTTTGAATTGTCTCAAATTCAACCACCGCTCACAAGGCAATAAGCATTTACTCCCATTAGACACTTCCAGTGAAATATAAAATGCCTTCATTGACTTCTAATTAAATCAGCACTTCGTAGAAGCGTTTCTAACTGAATTTTACTTCCCTTATTGTACTTTTTTCCTGACCATTTTAAAGTGGAGTCCACTTTACTTATCTAAAATCCCAGTAATTTTCTCACATGAAGATGAGACAGTGCTTTAAATGATATTCCCATTTTAATGTTTCTGTGTTCATCATTGTGGTTTTCCAGGGATTTTCAATCAACAATCTCTTTTTCTTTGCACCCTTTTTTCCTCTAAAGGGCTGTCACAATAACTAAGTTTTACATTTCCAGCATCAGTAAATTAAAGGATCAGCAGAGTTATTCTGTTTAACTGGGTCTACATGTTTAAAGTTTTACAGAAGAGAACTCTAGCAGCAGAGAAAAAAGACTGTAAATCATACAGTAGCAAAAGTAATGTCAAACCTTTTCTTCTTCAGTCCTCAAGCAGGCTTAAAGCTTTTTTGCAGATTGTGAAAAACTCGCCTGGGAATTCCACAAGTTTTTGGAATAGGTGTCTTAAATGCTGAAATGAATGCTCATCAGAACCATTCTCTGGGCAGAAGAGGCTTCTGCTTTATCATTTAATTTTGTAACTCTAGATGCTTTCAAGACTTCAGTCCATAAAATACCAGTGAATCTTGCAAAAACACACCAACACAAATTTTAAATCATTAATATGGGAACTAAAACCCACTTCATCCAAGCTGCAAAAAACCTTTCAGCGAAGCTGGGTACACAAAGGGGGTGGTACCAAGTACCACAGTGCCATGGCTGTTCTGCAAATGCTGGCAAGGCAGCACATGTATTCCCACACAAACTGTACCACAGCATCTTCATTAACTAGAATAAGCAGAGAGGAAGAAGGGCCTGAACATTTACCTTTCAACTGTCCTAATAATGTTGCACAAGGGCCTAGAGAAGAACCTAGAACTGTGTCTACATGTGCTTATAGCTGCAGTACACACCCGAGTTAGTTTGGAGTTGGAGGTGGGTGGTGGTTTAACTATGAACAGCTGTAGATCAGAATGAACTGATCTGTATATGAAAATGTTATTTAAAACTTCTCAAATTTTATACTATGTATGAAACACATTGCTATATGTATATTCTAGCAACAGCTCAGTATGCTGATATAATACAGTGACAGAGCACCCAGGATCTTGAGATACTAGGCATATGCTTGAGGTATTACAGCTGTCATTTTTGTTCTGTTAGGTTCATGCATTGTGGTAGAACTGTTCAGGTTTTATAACTGTGGATATTCTCAAGTTTCTCTTGATTGCAGAATCACAGCGGAGCTGGAAGGATACCCTCACAGATCATTTGTCCAACTCCTGGCCCTGCACAGCACCACCCCAAGAGTTACATCCTATGCCTAAGAGCTTTGTCCAAACACTTCTTGAGCTCTGCCAGGCTGGTGCTGCGACCACCTGTCCTGGGGAACCTGTTCCAGTGCCCAACCACTCTCTGGGGGAAGAATCTTTACCTAATATCCAACCTAAAGGCAAATAGCTCTGAAATCTGTCATTTTTCAGGCTTTCACCTGAATATGCAGTTGCAACTGCTACTCCTAGCTGACATGCTGGCCTCTGCACTTTAAGTACTTCATCACAGAAGTCCTGAAAAAACCAGTCCCAAGAAGGCTTCACAGTCCTTTCAGCAGAGGTAGTTCTTGGCCAGAACCATTCAAGAGTGCAACTCTTGAACCAGGGCTGTGTTTGACAGCGCACAGCCACACCGGAGCCATTTAGTTTGGTAACACAGATACGTGGACAAGGATTTCAGCATGAGATATATGAGATGTCACATATTTAGTTGTTGCTTGTGTGATAGAACCAAAATCATGCTGTGAATGTTACCTGAGTTAATTAGATGACATTTTGTCTGTGACAATCCACATTTCAGTTACATACATAGTCATGTTTCGCAGCAGCTCTACAGATTTACCTTTATTTCTATATACTTCTCATATATCTGTTACAAGCCAGTGTATTTACAGGCTGAGTACTTGACCAAATTTCTGTTAACAGGTCTAGTTCAAATCAGTTACCTTAAATCAGTTCTAAGCATAGTTTAATACAGAAATACAATTAGAAAATACTTAAACTTAGGCAGGTCTAAATTGGAACAATGTAAATAAGTGCTACAAAAAATGAAAGCTGAGCTTTAGGGGGGACCAGTGTAGTACTGTTATCTGAGAAGTAAAAGATATGGCTACTATACTGCTACTTTATTTTTGTAAAGTCAGCCTGCCTGTAAACAAATAGCTTGTGATCCCTGATAGCCAGTGACCACCTGAGGTCTGAAAAAGAAAGAAGTCAATGTTTTCCAAATTGGAATACAGGTAAAGATGAAAAGGCAGTCAAAAATGAGGTATGCCACCATGTAACACAGAAATTGATACAGTGATTTCCTGTTTCTCACTATCCAAATACATAATCAGAGAATGATAGGATGGCCTGGGTTGAAAGGGTCCTTAGAGATCCTCTAATCCCAGCCTCCCTGATGTAGGCAGGGACACTTTCCACTAGACCAGGTTTTTCAGAGCCCCATCCAATCTGGCCTTGAACACTTCCGTAATGTTACATTATGATGTCACAGTTGTGTTTCATAAACATATTTTCTATTATTATGGTGGAATTGGATGTGATAATTACTAGACTGTGTGTCATGAAGCATAACAATGACATTTCATATCAAAAAAGTTTCTAAAATTGTTATTCTAATTATAACTTTTACATAGTATAAATGTACTATAGATTTAAGAAACTGTATTTATTATCTCTTAAATTACATTGTACAGATAAATAAGGAAAAAATTTACTTTGCTCTATTTTTCTACAAAGCACACTACTTACCAAAGAGTTAATCAACATAACAAGACAATTGTTCTGAAGTTCAGTAGGTAAATTGGCAAAGCTTTTCTCTGAAAAACATCTTGCAAAATGTTTTCCTACCCATCTGTTGAAAAGAGAGCCATTCTTAGGTAAGGAAGATGAAAAATGTTCTATCTTCACTTGTTAGCATAAGTGATACCTCTAAAGTATTGTGAAGAAAAAACGTTTAAAATGTAAATGTTACATATGCCAAAATAAACCCATCTTACAAGATAAAATAATTTCAACAAAAAGCAGATAAAAACTATTTTATTTTATTTTACTTACTTCATGCAAGCAGCATATAGGTTTTCCACTCCCAGTGAATGGGCAATAGCCATGCACTCTAGTACAGGTTGCTGTTTGCCAGGAACAGGCTAGAGTTGTGAGAAAATTATCACAATTATTGTACATTTGATTTACAGAAACTATACAAAAATACAAAATCTTCCATTCAAAGATTCATAAGGAATGTCAACTGCCATGGTATTTTAAGATTTTTTGCCTTTATGCAGTCATCTATTTCCACGTCAGTAAAGCAGGATTCAGCCTCATGAGCCTAATGCATGGAAATGCTCAATTCTAAGCAGATGTTTGATTTTAAACCAATTTTAATTGAACAGATAATTTTTTTTCTAAATATATACCCATGAAACAAGATATACAAATATAGAGCATTTCCACATGCCCACCAAGAAGAGTTACATTTACAATAGCACATATTAAACTATACTGAGTGTAATTTAATACATTGAATTAATAATGTAGAATACTGCTTTTAATCAGCTGGGGTTTCCAAGTGTCTATAAATAGCTGATGATATCACAAGTCTTACTCCCACCATCTATTCCAGATTCACACCTGAGAACAGGGACTGGTGACTTCAGCCAACACCTTGATCACAGAGTTCCTACATATATTGTCACTGTGATTTGGTATTAAGTAACAGATTTGAAATTCTCAGGCTCTGTAGCTCACCAAGTAGCATGAGAAGTGACATACCTTTTGGAAGAAATTGCAGTAATCTCTTTTCAAAATGTAGATAGCTACTTCTTTTAGTCCATCCAGCCCATACATGTCTGCAATGCCCAACATGTGACTGAAGAGAAAGCAATAGTGACAGGAATAAAAAAATCCTTGTGATATGTGCATTTTCCTTACAGGACAATTTACATGCTACCTTTACCTCTTGGTTCAGTCAGAACGAACTGCAGAAAGAGACTGATAACCAAGTGTGATACCTGCCAAAGAAAAATCTTCAAAGCAGAAACGTATATGGATCTAATAATAATCTCCAGCTATTGAGTTCAGCCTGTATAAAAACAGTCTCTAGCTGAGAACTGTTTGGAAGACTCTCAGTTTCTCTATTTTAAGGATAGCAAATGAAAAACGTATTTGTGCCAGCAGAGTTCTGGAATTTTGTAGGGTTTTTCCCAAAGTTACATAAAATATTATTGATGACATTCTTAAAAAGCAGAGTGAGCAAACTATTAATTATTTTATATAATAATCAATGTCATAATTTAATTTTATATCTCAATTAATTAGCTAAACATCAGTATTGGAACATATTATAAACAATTCCATATTTTTTGGAAATGGTAGCATTTTAAGTGGCATAACCTAATATATAAAAGGTTTCAGAGAATAATTCACAAATTTCAGAATTTACTTCACTAATACAGGATTATGTTTAAAACTGTGATTAAAAACTATCCCAGAACAAAATGCCAACATTTACATTTGGTTCCTATATATCCTCTTTCATGGATCTACGACTAACTATTTCGCCTTTTCATCACCTTCAGTGATTATTCAAAAATAAACTAAAAATATGAACTGTTACATACTATCACATACTGTATATATTAGTCTGAAAACTAAAAGGAAGATACAGGCCAATTGGGATTTATTTTGGTATAAAACATCATCTGGTTTTTCACTCTCCTCATAGGGTATTCCAAAACCAGCTGGCACACCTTTTCCAGTAGCTGTCAAATAGATAAGATTTCTTCAACAGCTCTTTTTTTTTTTTGAGTCTTCTTTTTGACTTTTAACTGCGAAAATACAGAGCAAACAAACGAGCACAAACTAAAATGAAAAAAAAAATTGATATATACCCAGCATCAACTTCATCTGGGAAGTCCAGAATAGCTCCATATATAAAATGCAAGACAACATTCATTTCTGCATGGCTTATACTGCAAAAAAGAATGAAAAAATACACATAAAGACATGCCCATAATAAAATGCATCACATTTCTTAGCCAAAGGAAGTTGGTAAAAAAGCTGATACATCATCCAGCTGCTCTGTGAATGGAAGGCAAAAGATCTGATAAAATTAAAACAATAAAAATTTCCAATGCAGAAGTATCTAAATAGACTACATTTGGGGTCAATTTAGATACTCAATGGATTTGATGGACTTTCTAACACTTTAGATCTTTAAAAATAAGTAATAAGCAGACTTACTAATAACGATATTTACACTGATAATATAGAAGGATTTTTTCATCATTGCCAAGCTCATTACCAGCAATAGGTCAGCTATTAAGTAACTATATATTTTAAAATTGTTTTATATAATTATTCCAAGTCTTTATGATATATTTTTTTTGTACAACACAAAAATAGATATTTAGAAGCTTTGTTACAATGCTAAGTAGAAATATTACTCAGAATATTTAGTCTTTATTCAGATTAAGAAAGCTGGCAGGCCTACACAGCAGTGTTTGCATCCTTTCACAGTTCCAGCATCTCAATGCAGAAAGGCACAGAAAGCCTCAGTGGTGAACCTGATCTGAACAACACTTTCTTGTATTTGTGTACATACATTTTTGTCTGCAGTCTTCAGGACCCACAAGTCCTGTGTGCATGAGTATAAATGGAATATTCATGCAGAGCTAAGACCCTTTAAAACGTCAGACATGTTTAAGCAATTGACATCGATGACTAAAAGCAAAAGGAAAAAACCCAGCAATATGCAAAGAAGCAAAATCAGCACAGCTGTCTCCCTGTATAGCAGCACACACAACAGCCATAAAGTCAGCGAGGAGGAGTTTCCCCACAGTCTTGACAGCTGTTACCTTAAGTAGACTTTTCATTATTTCAGAGTAAGCCATATGTACTTCATTTATAAGTGTAGAAAACAGCACAGAAACCAGCACTAAGCAGAAAAGTGAACTGGAAAAGGTAAAATTATGCATATGACTCATAATAACAGAAATTATGAGACACTGGCATGAGAATAGTCTCATATAAGGATTCAGTACTTCTCAGGAGAATGCCTCTACTGAAAAATAAGGATGAAATTTGTTAACCACAGAGAAATCAATTACAGAGAGAGAAGTGTAAACACCAGAGTAACTGGTGACTATCAGCCTCTAAAACACCATAAAAACTATGGAATAAATTAAATTGAAAATATATTGTTTTATAAGGGTTTGGAAGTTATAACCAAATCAACAGATAACGTTTCTGATTTGGCAGCAGCATTATTACACTAACAGGAAACTAAAATGACCATTTAAAAAAGTATCACTTGGCCAAGATATTTTGTATTAACACAAAGCAGTTACATTTTGCAGGTACACAGTTCTTTCTGGAGGAAATTGAATTGGCCAACATCATGACTGAAATAAAAGCTAACACGTACATGGATCAGTACTCCTTTGCTTTTAAAGGAAATTGAATTTATTTCAATAGAGTTTTCTGATACTGAAAAGAACTAACCTGGCAGTCCCCAGCTAATCTATGAAGTCTTAAGTATTCATCCTACAGTGACAGCTCCATTATTCTCACGCAGAAAGCCATGGTGAACAAGCCCACTAGATAAAATTGCTTTAGTATATGCTGCTGAAATATCATAATTAAACACTATTTAGGAAATGTTATTTATATTTATATTGCAATTTTCATACTTATTTGTACAATAAGTATATTTACATTGTTCAGACACAGTATTTTTCATGACATGTACAACAAGAAGTGAAAGAATTCTCAAGTATATTGTGAACATTAAAACATACTCTACACAAAAGGATTAGCGCCCTTTTGTTAATGAAAAAGACTTTTTTGAATCATCTGGCAATATTAACAAATACATTACACACAGAGTTTCATCCTGAAGTCAAAACAGTACTCAGGAAATGTATCAGGCTGGAGAAAAGTGTCAAGGCATATTAATCTTCAGCGCACTGTACACAGCACAGTTGTTACATATTTGCAGCAATTGTAAATTGCCTACCTTTGCTCCCACACGACTTGCAGAGATGACACTTACCCTTGAAGAGTGATGTGCTCTTGAGAGCTCTCAGCCCAACTTCCACTCAGCATGGCAGCAAAGTAACTAGATCTGGCACATAAAATAGCCCTGAGAGAGAAAAAGTAAACATTATTCCACTACATACAAATATTCATGATGAGACTCTTTGATAACATTGACTTAAATCTTTGCCCTGTATGCATTAAGGTGTCAGCTGTGTACTGCATGCCTTTTCTCCCAGTATGTTTGGAATTTCAAAATATGCTACAGAAAAAAACCAAACAGTACTCTATAAATTTTTCAGTTAAAGCTTGTTTTTAGTATGACTTTGAGATTCACACAGAGGAAATCTATTACCACAAGCATCTTCCTTTTATATAAAATTTCACATTTATTTCTCCTGTTTTATTTACCAAATAAGACTAAATAACAGTTATTAAATAAAGTAAATAAATATTTTATACAGCCCCATTATAAATAATTATATCCTGAACATCTTAAATTCTTCCTATATTACAAAATGTGCATTTATCAAAATTCTAAGTATGTAATGTCTTGTATTCAGAATTTGCTACTCACCAAAAGTCAAACAAAACTTGGTATTAACACATTCTGGGACAATATGATGTATTTTTGCAACAAGAGCTATCAGCTACTTCTGTTTACACTTACTGCCCTTGTATATTTAAAAGGCATATAACTGGCCATAACTAATTCAGTTTACTACTACATCCATCCATAAAAGAGAATAAAGAAACCCCAGAGCTGCAGTCTGTGTAGCTCAGTATCTCTACCAGTATCAGTCTTCAAAATATCAGGTAAGAAGACCTTTGCAACAGGACTCTTAAGGTGGAAGTACATTGGCAGAGAGGAAGACAAGATAGTGGATGAAAACTGCTTTGTGATTTCAGTTTTCCAGATCCACACCAGTTATAGCATTAGCCTTTATGTGTCTTGTCTGGCTTACTACAGCCACAGATAATATTCTCATACATAGAATTTTTTCATGACACTTTCTAAGCTTCCTATTATTTCTAAAATTAGCTTATGTCGTGTATTTCCTGTGGCAGAAAAAGCAAAACATTATACCAGGCTTGAGAATCCTTTCTGTTACATGTATTTGTCTCTTAAAATGTTTCTGAGCACTCTCATTTTGTGTAGGAAGAAGCATGAAGAATGCTATTTATGGTCTCTTTTAGTCATTTTATATTCTGTATTCTGTCATCTCTCCTCCCTCCTCCTGCTTCAGAAGTCTCAATACTTTAAATTAGAACCTTCTCACACATTCCTCCTGTGATTCATCCAGCAAAAATAACAACAACAAAGCTTTTACTGAACGTTTCCTATCTTAGTGAAATATGTCCACACATAAATTAATATTACATCCTAACCTGAAGTGTATGAAATTCGGGGTACACACACCATATTTTGTTTATAAGATACAATAACACAATATCATAGAGATATGGAATACACTTATCTCCAGTTTTTTATTCCATTCCAAATAAATTTTAGTAATGAACAGTGATCAGTCAAGTTCAAGGGCATAGTTAGAGTGGGTATTTCAGAGACTAATTTTAAATAAGACAGGTACACAGCAGAATATGCAGTACCTAAATGTAAATTTTATCAGCATATATTTATAAAATACATGGAGATACCAAATTATTTTGAAATAAATTTATCTGTGATTTCCTACAGTGATGGGGTTAGTGCCAGTTTTAGTACCAACCAAATCTGATTTGCTTCATGCAGAGTTCTGTAAAAATGCAACACTAGGAAGACCAAAGCCAGCAACACTAAAGTCTATTGGAAGTCCACAGGACTTCATGAGAAAGTAAGGAATACTGACACAAGTGGGAGACTGGGGGCCTAGCCTGTCTCGTGTTTGAGAACTTAACAAAAAAAAACCCTTACAGTAAGTAAAGCATTCTGGTTCTTTCACCACAATGATACTCAAAGTTCCATTGCCCATATTAGCTCCTACTGTTCACATGACCCAGGGCTAAAACGAGCTCAAGTCCTGCGCCTGTTTCACAGCATCCTTGTTTTCTCTATGATTTACTGCCGTATCTTTTGATGCTAGTTAAACTAGATACATAGCCTCGGGCAGCAAGTGGCCTAAATTAAAGAAGCTCTGCTGATAGAAGCTCTTTGTTGCACTATTTTTCCTGCAGTAAAGCATTTGTTTCTCAAACTTACGTATCTGACAACATATAATGTAGACCAGAAGAAACAAACATTCCTTACTACATTTAATTCTGAAAATGTAGCATATATCCAAATACCACATAATTATAATATACCTCCTCTAAAGATATTGTAATGTCAGTAACAAACTGTCATTCTCCCTCCACCCCAGTTTTGTGTTGAGAAAGTACTGGAAGTAATGGAGGGTTTTTATAGTCCCTCTCTAAGTTACTTAATATACTCAAAGGGAACAAAATACAGGCTTTCTAGTTTGCTATCTCAAATGCAAACAGACTTAAATCAAAGGTACAAGGAATGGTGCTGACACTTTAATTTGCTTTCCCAAGCCACAGGAGTACAATAAGCCAAAGTTCTTAAACGGTCTTGGACTTTTGATCTAGGAAAGGCTCCTGACAATCTTTACATCTACAAAACTGAAGTAATGAAAGTAAAACCAGATTGTGTATGCACAGATTTTGCAGAGCTGAAACAAAAATTACTACTCCAGAAATGTTCTGCCTATATGGAAGCTTTATTCAGCATTAATAGCTGAATAGTTTATTAGTAGATTTTTGCTTTCTTTACAGATCACAGATTTTTAAATTATTTTATATTCATACATATATATATAGAGGAAAAAAGTCTCCAAGTATTTCCATGAGTATATACTCAATATATGAGATTACAGTGGCAATCTTAGAAGTGCTAAAAGCACAGTTGTTTTCAAAATAGTTGCTGTGGATGATGAATTATATCTATTAGTATCAAAGTACAGCCACTCCACACATAAGTCCTAAAAAGTGTAACAGTTCACAGCTAGAGACCAGCACCAGCAATAACTTCCTACAGATAACAGTAACAGCAGCATTTTATACCAGATGTTATTGATTGAAAAACTTTTTACTGTAAATACTTATGTACCTGTGAGCTTGAAAATGTTTGCCTTCTACGCAAATATTAATATCTGTACAACAGCACTTCTTGTAGAGCATCAATAACTCTTCTCCTAACACAGATGCGGTTTCTACTTTGGAATGACCTGCATATAGGGGAAAAAGCTGTTTTCACTTTGTCAGGTGTACAAGAGACTATTGACAGTGCACAGACAAAATATTTGAAAATAATCTGGCATAATTATTTTTTTTATTATTACATATTCAAGCTAGGGTTTTCCTTGAAAAGGTTTCCAAACATTGCCTTTTACTTCTTATTTTGACTTACCAGAAACTTGACCAATGCTCCCTATTTGGTATTTACAGAAGAAGTGCTACAGTTACTCTTTCCCAGTTCATTCTTTCCTGCTCTGAAGAAGAGCAGCCCCTGAGGAAGTCTGGGGGCATGCAGTGCCACGGGTCCCACCTGAACAGATGTGCTGCTTGAGCCCGTGTCACTGACACAGCTGCAGCAGCCAGCACCTCTGGGGAAGATGCAGTTCAACACTTGTATGATTTCATTCAGAGCTGTAGTATGGAAGATTCTGAAAGGTTCCAGAACCCTCCTAAAACAACAGTGGAACCAGTGCAATTCCCTAGGAAGGGAAAACAAGGGAGATACTCTGCTGTGTGGAAGTCCTACATGGTGAAGAGTGGAGCTCACTGTATTCCAGGGAAAAGACAGGACATGGTGATGGCCACACCTAATACCTGGCAACTCCAGATTTATTACACCACACACTGGCTGGGAACTGTGCCTGCCTAACTTCTGCAGCAATTCATTTCTTCTAAGTGTGAGATCATGAGGTGGGCCATAGAAAAGAATATCCATGACAGCTGTGCTGTAACAATAGTTTTAATTTTGCCTGCATTTTCACAACTATAGGAATATTTGAACAATTATTTAAAAGACAAAAAGAGAAAAAAAGTGTAATTCCAAACTTACCTCCAGCGGCTTTGTTGCTTTCTGTATCAATGACTGCTTCTGGAATTTCTTCCTCAATACCAGGCCAACAAACAATTCCTTTCTGCACAGCTCCACTTGGAGTATTCTGGTCAACTGGTGTTCTTTTACTTTGTCCAAGACAATGTACATTTTTTTGAGCAATCTGAAGAGTAGGATTGTTGCTTTCTTGTATTTTCCTCATAAACAGCTCCTCAATTTCTTTAAGATTTATATCAGATGAATACAGAATCCTAGAATATAACACTAATTTTTACTCTCATTTTTCAATTAAAGAAAACAAAAAAATTACTTAGTTTTATCTAGCAAAATTTATGACCAGAAAACAAAGTGTTGGACTCTCTGGTGCTTAAAAAACCCAACCTTTTAAAAAATGTATCTCTGGAAAACTTATTTCTGCAAATGCTTGAAAAGCATAAACAAGTACCACAAAATATCAAAACCTTCTAACATCAAGATTACAGTAGAAAATCATAAAAATTGTATAGAGATATAAATGAATTGGAGAAATAAATTTTAATTTCAAAGGAAGCTCTTAAAGCCCAAAAATGTGCAGTTAAGATTACCCAAGAACTTTCACTTTGCCTATCTAGTAATTCCAGCTTCCCACTTTCCCATCTGTTTCACCAGCTTATTTTTGGCTCAGGATCTGGAAAGGCTAACAAAGCCTGCAGTCTGTGACTGCAAAAATCTCACATTTTTAGAAACACACTGCACTCCAGCACAGACAACATGTTTGATCCTTGGTTTCATACCATCTAGATGAAGTTAACAAAGTTTAACAGAAGAGCTACAGTTCCTTTGGATGTAGCAGAAATATTCAGAGATCTGCTTTAGTCACTCCATGGCAGACAGGCTTTTTGTCAATACCCAGAGAACAGTAATTTGAGTGTGTTATTTGAACACTGTACTCTGATGGGGCAGAGAAAACATAAAAAGAAACCATCTTCCTTCTTGAGTCTTCTATTTAAAGGATTGAGATAGGTAGAATTTTTTTTTTTATCTATGTGATACAGGTCACCATCAGGAGAGAAGAAGAAGAAACATGAATATATAGAATTAGAAGGTTAATGTTAATATTTTGTTAAATTTGGAAAGCAAGCACAAGGAAAGGATACGACAGGAACAATAAGATTTCACATGGAAAGAGTAAGATCAGTGGATCCTTTTCACATGTGATTTTAAGGTTGTTGTGTACGTGTGTGCTTTCAGAACTCCTAACCTATGAGCTGACCATCTATTGCTTTTGATATTTAAAGTGCTTTCCAACCTACCATAATAATAGCATGAGGGAAAGACAAGTCAAACCATGCCATATTACCAAGAATATGAGCAAAAATTGTTTGATGGAGCAGGGAGACTTTGCAATTCTTTAGAAAATTCAAGACCACAAGTTCCACACATTTTTCCCTATTCACTGTGCTTCACAGTAGGTAACATCTGTGTTTTACAGCTCTAAAGCAGTAGGAATCACAAATAGAAATTCAGAGCAGAAACCCAGTTAAAGATAGAGAATTCAAAATTTCCAGAAAATTTTGAAAAATTTACAGAAGTATTCTGAAGTTTTGTCTTCAAGTTTTTTGTCCACACTAGACCTTCCAAGAACGGTCACTTAAAGTCACACAGACAATGGAAAAAAAAATTCAATAATTCACACTTTATCCCTCCATCTTCACCAGATGTAAGCTAATACCACAATTACTCAAGTCCACTGGTCACATACTGAATATAAAAACTGCAGGAAGAGTTTGTTGAAAAAAAAAATTGCCATTGAACACGTTAGGCTAAATTTGCAGTGGAACTTTTCTTATTCCCCTTTCTGTTGCTACAGAGCTTTTGCATATTTAACATGTAGACAGTACAAATTGACTTTGAGGGAGAAAGAAAACTAGCAGCAACAGATAAAGTGTTTTACCATAAATGAATTATTTTAATATTCTTAATTTCTACAGTAACTGAAAAACATCCATAGGGAATCTCATAAGCTAGGCAATGAAGCAACAATCTCCTGGGAATGCTCAGGATAATTTCAGAGAATCTACACAAGAAACCTCAAGAATGCAATTAATTTTGTTATCACCAGGCTTCAGTCAATAAAAATGGCATCCTTAATACAACTAGGGACTCAGTAAATAAAACAAATGAAGTGGCATTTTAAACCAGAACTAAGTAACTGGTTTCTGGATCTGAAAAAGTTAATTTTAAGTTTTTTCCTGCAAAAAGTCAAGAAACATTGATTCTTTCAATTAACCTTTAAAATCGAGTCACATTCCTGCATTTATTACTTCCAGAAAATCAGCAGGTTATTTTAATATTAAGTTCCGCTGAATACAGACTGTAAATTTACTACTCTGAAAGACTCATGGGACACATCCATCATTTTGCTTCACAGACAGCAAAATGATTTTGGCATATCTTTTAGAAATTTCCTTTTGTCTCAGTAAATCCCATTAGATGTTTCCAGAATGTAAGATTCTGCAGTTTTCTATAACCTGCTATAAAAAACTTTTCTTGGCAGTGCCCTGTATTTCACAGGCTCATTTCTAAAGCAGAGTGAAGTTTTCTAGACTGTCTCCTCCAGAGTACTGAATTGTGCCTTTCTGCATAATAAAAGTTAGGGAAATCTGGCATGGAGCTCAGATGGTTTAGTGATAATGTAAAACCATCTCTTCAAAGCAGTTGCTTTAAGAATCCAGGACCCTTACTGCAGAATTGTATTAGGAATAGTTTTTAAAAACTTTCCAAACCACTTGAGTAGGCATCATTCAATGTGTCATCCTAGTTTGGTTATCTAAAGAGCAGAAGACAACAATTCTGTAAAGTTATAAATCTCTTCTTTAAGTCAGAGAGAGGTGTATCATCACAAGATACCCAGAGCGCTCTCTTTTCCAGGCTGATGAACTCCAATTCTCTCAACCTGTCTTCATGGGAGAGGTGCTCCAGCCCTCTGACCAGCTTTGTTGCCCCTCTCTTGACTCATTCCAACAGGTGTTTCTTATGCTGGGGGCCCCAGGGCTGGATGAGCACCCCAGGTGGAGTCTCAGGAGAGTGGAGCAGAGGGGGCAGAGTCACCTCCAACCACCTGCTGGCCACGCTGCTTCAGATGCAGCCCAGGCTAGGGTTGGCTTTCTGGGCTGTGAGTGCACATTGCTGGCTCATGCTGAGCATCTTGTTAAGCAGCCACAACTCTTTGAGTGTGATCCAGCCAATCCCTTATCCATGGAATGGTCCCTCTGTCAAACCCAAGCCTCTCAAGCTGAGAGACAAGGATGTCATAACCAGAGTAACAACAAAGTATCTTCTGCACATGTGTGAAATACCATATTGTACAAGTTTTACTTAAACAGCTACCACAATTAAATGCCAAAATGAAACCCAAATCTATTTACTTTATTAATAAAAATAAAACAAACATAGGAAACCTCTGAACCACTACATACCCAGAATTTTAATGCACCCACGTCTACCAAACCCAACTGCAGCAAACAGTCTCGTGTAGTGCATTTAAATCTTGGTAGACTTGGAAAGCTAGGGCAGGGCATCTTCATTGTCTAAGTCAAGCATTTCATTCACACAACTGTCCTATCTCCTGCTCAAAAGAAGAAGGAAGAGGAGCTACCACAGCCTTCAGCACACAAGTGACACGTAGCCCACTTCATCTCTCCTGATAAAGAGACAGAGGCCCACAGGAAGTGTGCCTCACTGAGAGGGAGGCCAGATATAGCTCGTGAGAAAATAATTCCCAAATCCCCATGGAAAGATAAGTTTTACTTGGGAAAATAAAAGCAAAGTTGAATACAAACAGGAAAAGGAATGAGATTTTGTTATAGCTTTGATGAACTCGGCAATACTATTACTAGTATTCTACTTCTCCATATATACAAGAAACCAGAACTTTTGTAGAAGACAAAAAGCTCTCAGGAGCTCAGCTGCAGCTACAGGTCTCTGCTACAACTCATCATGGCAGTTTATATGCTCCAGGAACTAGGCTGGCTTCCAGTAAAACTAAAGCTCTAATTTAAGGCACTGTTTTGCACTTACAAAGATCAAATTAATTTGTGTCTTAACAATAAGAAACCACTGAGATTCAACAGCCACTGATACTACTTGATAATCTGAACAATGGATTAGGCTCTTTTCAAGCAGTCCTTTCTTTGGTCCAAATGAGTCCAAACTTCAGTGCTCTGGGTAAGCAGGAATCCCCACAGAATGTGCTGGGTTAGAGGACTCAAATGGTGAAGTATCAAACAGCACTGAAAACTAAGAGAAAGCAAATATCTTGTAAAGCACATTTCATACACAGCTTAGAACATATGGGGAGGTTAATCTGAAGATTCTAAACTCTAAACTGTGAAAAGGCACAAGGTTTACAATTAGTTGAGCTGAGTTTAAAGGTGTCTTCCAACACCATGCATTTTGGAGAACATGCAGAACTTCAGACATCATTTCTTGCCTTACAGCAAACCCAGACAAAACTGAAAGCAAGTATCAGTAACATATTTAGTGCTTACCATTAGGAATACAAACCCATGATATAACAGCCTATAAATAATTATTCAGAATAATTGTTTAAAAATTAATATGATTTTTACAAAAAAATTCATTATCATACTTCTCCCTGAAATTCTTCTGTAACACCACTTAGATGAATGTGAAAGAAATGATATCACAGTAACAATGAAATCAGGAAAAATACAAGACAAAGCAAATGCTGTTTTGTTTCTTGACACTTGTTTTGCTAATACTCCTACCAGGCTGTGGCAGTAACCCAGCAAATGCCTGGTAATCAACCTGCTCCACTACAAGGATTCAATGTTTCAGATACTACTCTGGGCTCTCTCAAAGTTTTCTTTCATAATTGGGTTGTGTTTAAAGCAGTGAATTTTAAAACTGCAACTCTATCCCATTGCTGTTGGCAACAATCTCAGAAGCCTGCAAGTACCAACATTTTCTAGGCACATCCTGAATTCATGCAAAATCCCAGAATGATTTCTTTCTACCACTTTGCTCCCGGTGCAATCCTGTAAGTGCTGATTGGCTCTAACACCAACTCTTTTTTAGGTGGCAACACCAGAGCTTTGTTACAGAAAAGCAGTTCTTTGAAAAAAGGATTAGAGGAACTTAAAAGGAGGAGAATTGCAAGGTCTGGTTGCACCGGCCAACACCCCTCATGTAACTCACCTAAGGTTTGGAGCAAGACATGAGAGATGTTGCATATGTGGCAACAGGAGAAGAGCCGGCAGTGCAAAAACACGCTGGCCCTTGCACTAGTCCCTGGGGAGCAGCCAGCCCACACACCTCCCTCTGGGATCCCAGTTTGCACCAAAGCTGCACTGTGTTGGGCCTAGCCCATGGTTCGCTAGGACTTGAGAGATGTGGTCTGAACTTAATGTATTTTCATCCAACTTGCTGAAGTTCTCCTAGATTCCTATATTCATAACTTTTTCAAATACGAGCTGAGAGTGGATTTTATTTGCTGTTTTCATTTGGGAATCTTGCTAAAAAGGGGTTTTTTGTAGGCACAGACAATCTCAAAGGATTTTTGCTAGTTTTTTCTATTACAAGTCCTTTACATACCATAAAAAAACACGCTAAATTGGAGAGTACAGCCACGTGCCGTCAGCAGAAGGGCAAAAGGCAGAGGGAAAGGAAGAAGTTACAGAAAAGTCCTCTGCAAACTCTGCAGGAAGGCTGGGAGGGTACTGCCTTGAATGGGAAAAGCTTTAAAACAGGTGCTGGCACTGGGAAAAGAAGAGGCAGGACACAAGAGAGCAGAAGCCGAGGCCAGCCCATCAATCCGCCGCGGCCGCGCACTCACCGCAGGAATTCCCGTAACTCCGCGGGTTCCAGCTGTAGCTGTCCCCCCGCCAGACGCTCGCAGAGCAGCGGCGCCCGCGCCAGCAGCACCGCCCGGTGCACCCGCACCTCCTCGCCGCCGACTCGGAAGGTCACGTCGGAGTGGGTCCCCTCCGCCAGCAGCCTGCGGGACGGCACCGTTACCGCTGTCCCGCCCGCCCGGCGCCGCCCCGGCCCGGCCGCCGCCCCGCGCTCACCTGTCGAGATCCCGCCGGAGCTGCTCGGCCAGCGCCTCCTTCAGCCGCTGCCGCTCCGCCGCCGCCGGGCCGGGGCCCTTCGGCGCCGCGCCGCCGCCGCAGCGCGCCATGTGCCGGCCGCCAGTCCCCGGCACGGCGACAGACAGCGGGGCGGGACGGGCGGGCGGTGCCCCGGCGGCGGGGCCGCACGCACGGACGGCACCGGGCCGGCGCTCGGGGCGCGGGCAGCAACCGGCCCCGGAGCGGGACCCGCGCCGCTCGCGGGGCGGGGCCGGCAGCGGCCTCCGCCAATGAGAGCCGGCGGCTCCCGCCTGGCCCCGCCCCGTCGGGGCGGCCCCACCCTCCCTCAGCTCCCGGACGGGGCGGGGCCTCAGCGCGGGTGCCGCCGGGACTGCGCCCTCTACCGGCCGCCGCTGCGCGCCGCGCCCGAGGGCCGCTCCCCCGCGTGAGGGGCCGGCGCTCCGCGGCCGCCCCGCCGTGCGCGCCCGGCGCAGCGATGGGAGCGCGGCGGGGCGGCTGCCGGGCCGCCGGTGCTCTGCGGGAAAAGCTCCCCAGCACTGTCTGCCTTGCCAGAGCAAAAACGCTGCGCAGGCGACACAAGTCTCTCTGTGCAACCTCCTGGAGCAAGGGAGAGCCTTTCCAGTTCCACAGTGTAAGTAAGAGAAGCACATAACCATTTTAGTTGATAAGTGCTGAAAGTATTCAGGAAAAAATGCTTGAAAGGCCGGTACCAGTGGGGGATGGAAAGAAGCAAGTTGAACACCACAGGCGCGATCCTGAGGAGCCTGTGAGGTTCGCGAAGGGGACGAGAGCAGTCTGGGCGGGCAGCGCCGCTTGGTGCTTCCTGCCGAGGCCACGCTGGGCACGGACTGCTCCCATAACACATCCCATAACTCCAAAGAGTGTGGCGATGTGCTGCGGCTCCCCAGCATCTCTCCTGCTCTGGTGGGACACCTGGTTCAGGCTCGCCTGGCCCTGATGCTTCCCTCAGTGGGCTCTCCTGCACCTTTGATTCCAAGGCACTGCGCTTGCTCTGCAGGTGCAGAGGAGTCTTTGGAAAGCTGATAGGCAGTGACTCCTACTCTGTGGTCTCGTATTTTTATTTTGTTTCCCTTTGTAGTTAGCATACAGTTTTCTTCTCCCCTGCCATCACATGCAAGTTAATTCTACCCTTTGTGTCCATAATCACCGTGTCTCTTCCTCCTATAAACACAGGAACCGGGCAGCAGTTTTTGGAGACAAGAACAGTAGTTGCTGACATAGGAAGGATAATGCCAACAATGAGGCATTATTTTCAAGAATTGACAACAATCGTATCATGACTGTCCAGGCTGAATACTAGACCAGACACTTCAGCTATTCAAACACAGTTCTTAGCTTCAGCAAATCTCTCCACAAGAAGTCAGATAAAGTAGTGGGAGTCTTATAAGTTGCATTTTATTAGACAGAGGTGAATTTGATACATGTTATATCTAAATTTTCCATTGTTCTTGTTCAGACATGTGGAGTGTACAGGTTTCCCATTTTTTAGTCAAGAAAGAAAAACACATTGCGCAAAGCAGCTGCATTCAACAATACAACAAGATACGGATCATTATTCACTTGAAGACTAGAAACATACCCAGAAAATTTTCAATCGTTCAGTATGCTAAAATATAGATAAAAAGAGTTACTGTTTAATGGTAAAATACATTAAAAAAATTCAGGCAAATCTAGAATGAAAACTTGTGACTTTCTTCAGTATGGCACCACTCTATTGTTTCATTATAAATTTGTAAAAGGCACCACACATTACAACTGTAAAGCAAGGGAAAAAACAAAACCAAGCAACTTTCCATGATTTTCTTTCTGTACAAATACATATGTATTTTAAGGCAGGTGTTTTTATGTGCAAAATACAAGTATACAGGTAAAACCAATGTTGGTATCGTATATTCTCATACTCACTTCTTTTAGCTGTACGATTAGTGTCCAAATGTACAGTACAATGAAAACACTTCTCTAACAGAGCTCAAAATAGAAGGCAGGCTGGAAATATGGCCCTGATAACAATTAGGTTTTAAATCTGAAGAGCTTTTATTTAGACCCCTTAAAACATGTACAAACAGTTATTCTCTTTTTCTTTTTGTCTCTTCCTTAAGAAAGGTCCATATCAACTTGTTCACTATGTCAGGTTGATCCTGCTGGAGCCAATGACTGGCTTCTGACAAAATAGTTAATCTGAAGTGATTTTTAACATAAATCCTTGTAATTTCTGCCATCTCAACTTCCATAAATGCATCTCTTTCTCCCCATAACAGCAGGGTTGGCATGATAACTTCATGATGCTGCAGAGGTAGGCAGCTTTAAAAATAAAACACATTTAGTTAGGTTTTACTTTAATAAAAATTCACCAAGCCATATTCAATACAGATTTTGAAATCAATGCAGTGAATCTCATTGCAAACTTTCTAGGTGCCACAATATCTTCTACAATATCAAAAAACCACTGTGACTCCAAGTTCTATCAAAATGACTTACTCAAACTTTAATATTTTTTTCTTAATACCATTATTTAAAGTTGTTAATTTTATAAATATTACCTCATATTATAGACATGAAAGATGCAAGTAGCTAGTATGAAAGACTTTTCAGCATTAACCTATTGGAATTTATTCCAGCATATTTCAAAGATGCCAAAAAAATTATCTAAGCTTGAATTGCTTACTTTTAGCCACATACGGTGACAGATGAGCTGTGACAATTCAAAATAAATTCCATCTGATCAGATACAAATCTTTATTGAATTAATGTAAAAACATGATTATTTTAAACCAGTAATGTATAGAAAAAGATTTCCTGAATAAACTTTTATGACTTATGTAATTACTAGTTGTAAAGTTAGGAGTTAGTTAAGAGACTATGCTCTGTAAAAAGAGCAAGACAAAGAAGGTGACATGTCTTAGTTTAAAGTAAGACAAATAAAATGAGACATTGAAGACATTCTTCCTCTGTACTTACATGCAAAGTCAAGAAATGCTAATAAAAGATCACTTTAGATAATAATTTCATTTTGATTGATGATTTCAAAAAATTCTTAAAATGGCCCTTTTTACCAATGGATTTAAATCTCATTTTGCAAACAACTTGACCTCACCCACTGAACCACAGCTTTTTCATAGTATCAATTTTAAAAGCTGATAATCTGATACCTGATTCCGTGCATTGAGACTAATCTCTCTACCTTTTAATCCAGTATACTGGAAATTTTCACTTTTAATGTGTGTTTTTTCACTACTGTACAGTTTACTGTTTTGTACCTTGCAAGGTTTGCAGCCTCACTTAGGTAAACTCTATCAGGCTTTTTACAGGCTTTTTTTCACAGGCTTTTTTTGTCACTTTTCATTGCCTATGAACTACACTATATTTCTGTTCAGTCTGGAATATAGGAAATTATATAATTCCTGAACTTTCCAGAAATTGCCTTTAATAACAAATAATGTGCAGATTTCTCATTTAGAAAGGGAAGTTCCATTCATGAAATATTACAGTCTTTGAAAAACAGACTTTCATACAGCATTGTTATACAGTTTCTCTGTAAACAGTCAAGTACTTCTTAACTGTTACAAGAGAACTAATGCTATTTTCTAAACAAATGGTGCATCAGAAGAAATTCAAGTTCCAGCTTCTTACCTATGTCTTTTAACCAAGCATGATATAAAAACTTTATGAATTTATTCTCAAAATGTTTGTATATTTGTTTATATAATTTTATAATTTATTTGTTTTATATAATTTAATGTATAGGGAAAGAAATGACCACTGTGCTATTTATAAAAAAATGTGCTGGGGATGGATGGAAGTAAGTTATTTTAATCACCTCTCTGGAAATAACATTCCAGAAAAATTAGGCTCTGAAGAAAACCTCCAAGTGGATAGCAATGAGTCGAACCCTTTAACACATAGGTCACCAGCATCAGCCCACTGGGAATTTTGGTCAGTACAAGTCATCAGCATCCAAGTGCTGCTTAATGACTTAGAGGAGGGAAAAGGAAAATTCCAATCCAGTTTTCATATTTAACAATTCCCATCCCATAGGGCGTGACCATCAGAACTGGTGACAAGAACTGTGTGACTGATCTTTTTGTTCCAGTCCAAAGCCTGCTTCATCGTGGCTGATAAGCACCTAAATAAGATTCTCTGAATTCAGTGCAGTTCTTCTTGCTTTATTCATCAGAAGAATAAAGCAAACAATGCACAAACATACCCACAAAACACACAGAGGAATTAATAGCTGTGAAGATACTTTCTGACTTTGATACTACACTTTGTTTTTGAGTCTGAAAAGGCCTGAAACAATAGTTTAAATGTTCACAACTCTTCCATTTGTCTGTGACTCTCAGAGCAATTCAGCTGTCACAGGCACGTCACTGCTGTCAGAGGAGCATCTGGTTAATGTGCACACGCAGCGGAGCGAGGGGCTGTGGCCGATGGAACGAGCAGGGCTGGGGGCGCTGACGCCTCTGAGCTCCTCATCAGCCCTGCCCAGGGCTCCTGCAGGCCTGGGGAGCCCGGGGCAGCCAGGCAGCCCCTGGCCCTTGGACATGCCAGCTGATGTCATCGGCTGCTCTCTGCACAGCTTTAAATAAGTGCACTGTTACCAGCACAGCCGTCTCCTTTATTCCCCATTTCAGCCATGTTTGGGGTTAGCCTTCTGCTTCCTCGTTCCAGTTCTGGCTCAGCCTGTACAAGGCAGCACCTAGCTCAGGTCCCTGTTTTCCTCACTGTGTTTTCCCTGCTGATTGCTCTCCTGACAGCGACAGCATGGATGACACAGAAAGAGCAATAAAGGTGGCAGTAAATTTGGACTATGGAAAATGAAAAGTTATGCTACTTCAAGCATTACTGCCTGAGTTTAGGGAAAGAAGGGAATTGTTGTTTTAAAGAATATTGGGAAGCTGGTCTTTTGTTAGAGAAGCATGAAGGACATTTATCACTACTAAAGACTGGAGATAATAAAGGAAAAACAAATTCAATGCCACTCTTCTTGATTTAGTCCAAATTAGTGCTGTAAGTAGAATATATGCAGAGTTAAGACCTTCTGGCCCTGTTTTTGGTAGATAAAAAAGAGGATGTCAGTCTCTAAGGCTAATCCAACTCCTTTCAGGAAAGTTAAAACTGTCAGAAAGCTGTTTGAGAAAATAAATATTAATCTCACAAAAATACTTCCTATTATGATGCTATCTCTGTTATACTCTATGAAGTGAGTCTGCTAAGACAAATAAAGGAATAAAAAAACCCCGCCAAACCCAAACCAAGTTAGGTTAGTTTTAGGCTTAGTTATAAAAAACCTCTCCCACCTTTCTGAAAAACAGAAATAGCCTAAACACAATAAAATTCTGCCAGATAGGGTCTTGTAAAATTGCAAGTGAGGGATGATATGGCATCCAAGTATGGCATACTTGGATACCATATCATCTAATAGTATTATATAATAGTAAGATCTTGATAGATATTATCATAATATGAATTGTAAATGCAAACAATTAATTGATGTTAATTTTTAAAGTATTATTTAGAGGTGGATTTGTGAGATTGCCATGGGGACTGTGAATGAACAAAAGTCTTTGTTTTATTAAATTTTGAAACAAAGACTTTCCTTTTGTGCACTCTGCTTGTTTTGCCGTTTTGTGTGGACACCTCTTAGAACACACCTGGCCTTCACTGTTGGACTGGGCCTGTGCCCACCTGGTGAGGCTTCAGGAACACACCTGGGGTTTTCCCCTGGTTTAGCAGCAGGAGAGGAGCCACAGTAACACTTCTGGGCTCCAGAGGACTCTCTAGAATATTTTCCTTTGCTTGGAAATATTACACTGACCTGAAAAGAGTTCTGTAATGGTTAATGGGTCCTGTTAATGCTCCGGGTTGTGAAAAGACATAGAGATAAGCTTCAATATCCTCTGCAGTTAATCTGCAGCCTTTCCTTCCAATTCCAGTGGCCTGGCTGGTAAATAAACTTTTCAGAACCTACAAAAGCAAGAAGAAAAAAATATTATGTAAGATAGTTAGAAAATGGGACAACATGGAAAACATCTTTCTAAAATCTGTTTATGCATATTTATAAAATCTGTTTATGTTCAAAGTACAATGAATGGTTCAAATGAGTTTTTAGAGAGTTATGCGTAAAGCACAAAGTAAACATCTCAAGTATAACTTATTATAGAATAATCAAGTACAGAGAAATACCAGTATTACCAAGTTACTGCATCCTGACCTGCTACCTGTGGCAGGCACCTAGTTTTGTTTGGGATGGACCCCAGCAGGTGGCAGGGCAGGATTCATGACCTCCCAGCTGGCTGTGCCCTGTGTGTGCAGCACTGGGAGCTGTGCTGGGGCTGTTGGTGTGTAGGAGGGTGTATCCCTGCACCGTTGCCCTTTTCTATTGGCTCCTACTCATATTTGAGGTTATACAAAATGTTGGCCTTGGCTTCTCGGGCACAATTCATCACCCGGCTGAGTGCAGTGCCCAGCCTCCCACACTGCCTGCCCTGTAGCAAGCTCTGAGAGATAAGAGGATGTCCCACTGCACACAGGAGCTTCAGATAAGTCAGCAGGAAGTCCCCAGGCACCAGCTGTGTCCCACTGGTATGGGCACAAGTAAAACCAGCTGACTCTTCAGGTGGAGTAATGCACTGCAATGCTGAGGGCAAAAGTACTTCCCTCAGCACCTCCCAGAAATGCAAAAGTAAGAGTTAATCTCAGAGACTCTATGTACTGGTGTGCTACTTTATATAAAGCTTAAGAAGAAAAATCAGAAGGCTCCATATTTTTTTCCAGTAATTACAACTCCATCAGAAGGGATCAATGTAGGTGGCAATTATTCCATTAGTCACAGTTACATATATAAACAAGAGCATTCATTTTGCTCACCTTGAAATCATTTAGTGTAAACATGAATTCAGGAAACCATGGCATTTGGAAAAAGAAGTAGTAACCAGATTTAATCAATTGTGATGGATGTCGTAGAATGTATTCTGAAACAAAAATGTCCATGAATTAAAAATGAAAACTGATGGCTCAAACAAAATTACTAGTAATATTACAATTTTTTAAACTTAAAGGAATGTTTTAAAAATATTACATTAAAGTATGCTGTGTGACAAAAGATGATTATTGTTTCAGGAGTAAATATATGATGTAGCCATTAGAAGATACTTCTTCTATAAATGTTAGTAGAAACAGCCAGCAAAACAAAAGTTTGCCAAAGAATAGGTGAGGACAGCAGCACTGGAGAATTTAATTGCATGATAGTTTTTCACTTAGAGATCTATTTGTGTAGCTAGTCCAAAGCATTTTTTTTCCCAGATATGAAATTAAAGGCATAAATAGGTATTTCTCTCATCAATTATGTGATGCACAGAAATCTGTAGATGATGATCCACTGACATTCTAAAGACTGCATCACTACTGTTCACTGAAGTATAGAATTTTTCTAACAGTGTCTTCTTGGCAATTTCAAGAACTATAATAAAGGTTACATAGAGTCAAAGATTTTTATGGTCATTTTTAAAGACATAGGAGCATATATAGTAAAAGAAAATTATTATCTATCTATCTATCTATCTATCTATCTATCTATCTATCTCTATCACAAACTTGCACTGACTATATTTTTTTTTTTTAATTTAAATCTGTGTCTTCAGTGAGTTTAAAGAGTCAAAACTGACATTCGAATACCTAACTTCCTCAAAGCAAGCACACAATGTGTGCAGGTACTAGGAAGTCTAGAACTTTTCCTTTACAGGCGCAAATTTAGGAATGTAAAAACCACATATCCAACACAGGACATATCTCTGAAATATTAATTCTGACAGTGGATAAAAATTGGTTTTAAGCCAACAGAAATTGAGGTGTTAGGTATCTTCTAAAATTTCATACTTGTACATTCTTAAATTGCATTATCTATTATATTTTTCCTGATGGACCATTGTCAGCACTGATCACTTTTCTGTACTATTTATAAACTGTGTATTTTCTTTTAATCCACAGTAGAATAAATTTGATGTAGGGAGAATTCATTAGGCTACAGAATAGATTTTGTAGTTCAACAAATATGCAAACAAATACTATAATAAAATGCAATTATCTTTTCTACAGCTCGCTCCTGCTCTCATTGAAAACACTGCAAAAATCTTCTGCTTGCTCACGTGCTAAACAGAGCTCACGTGCTTTCCATAGGTAAGTGCGGATTAAACATGTGGCAAAATGTTCTTTAGTATCTTAGAAAGGTACCCAAGAACACTGTGAGAACAACAAATATGGGTGGTGTGTCTGATTCCACAGTGTAAGGTCAGATTTACATTCAATTGAAATTAAAATTAAAGCTCTGCTGAATATTCTTAGCTATTTATGGGGAAATGGGGTGACTTTTTAAATGGAGATAGGGTAAGGGCATCAATTGCAAAAATTCAAATTAGTGAGATAGTACTTCCCTTTACATTACTGAATGTTTATATAATTCCTATGAAATATTTTGTAGTTCTGGGTAGTAGACAAACTCAGCTCTATCACACAACAAATAGTGAAACAAGTCCTGTTTCAGCAAAGTACTGGTATATTCCTGAGCTCTATTAAGTAGCCTGGAAAGACTTCTTCCAATGAATATTGTACCAGATCATAAATTGTCACTTGTCACCTAAATCAGGATGTAATTCTAATCTCTGATTCACATTCATACAAAGACAGGCTTATGCAGATTCAATAATGCAGTGCAGCCTTTACTAAATTGTAATACAATATACGTCCTTCTTTGGGAATTTTTTCCTGATATTTACAACAGTGATAAACAGTGATAAAGTGCAACAAAACATATTTGTGTGTTTGAAAATCTTGTTTGTGGACCCTCAAGGATTAAAAAAAATCTGTAACTTTGGTTGCAAATATTCCCACTTCCTACAATGAATTTATTTTCAAAAGTTAAATAAATACTTGATATCTTACTGCTTCATAAAATACAGTCTAGCCATGTGAGAGCCATAGAGTACTTGCAGCTCATCTACTGAGGCAGGCTGTTGGTCCTCAAAGCAAGCACAACCAAAATGCAGATACTTTGGATTAACAAAGACTACTGTGAAACTTACCTGTAAATACAGAAGGATGAGGGAAATTAACCACAATCAGCTTAGTCACCATTTCAGGGTAACATATGGCCACTAACCAAGCGATCATTCCTCCCCAGTCATGGCCAATCAACACACACTTGTTGTATCCTACCACATAAACATAGACACATGCTTTTATTTCAAAGGAATTAGCATCCACAGAAATCAGCTCATACAATAAAATCATTATTGGGCTAAATAGGTGTTTCAGCACATTTATTCATGTAGCTTCAATACTGCACCACTTCCATTACTAATGGTCAGAAAAAATAGAGCACTGTTATAGTTTAAAAATTTATAAATATGTCAAAGTATTTAATTGGACTTAATTCAACTTTAACTCTACTACCTCCACATCACCCTAAAGTTACTTAATATGCAGATGGCCTCTCTGTTCACGTCTTGGCCAGTGCAGGGTCAGATAGCCAGTTCACTCTGCAGTCATTATAACACACGTACATTTGCCATGTTTAGGGAGTTTAAAATTTGAAACTGCAGACGAGCAATCTCCTGACCACCTCCAGAACAAAATCAATCCTAATGTATTTCTCTAAATATGAGAGGTTATCTAAGCACTCAGTGGCATCATTATGCCAAAAGTGGGCATTCTACTTAATAGCCATATATATATAGCATGTGTAAACACTCCCATTTATACACTTAGGAGGCCTGTAGCTTTTCTCCGTAAGCTGTTCTGTTGGCAATTCTATAAGTTCTGGACATTCACATACTTAATTCATCAATAAAATTTGTATTTTAGCAGCAATAGAAGGGGCATGGGCAAGATAGTGACCAAGTGTTTTGAAAGCTTAATCACTCTTCCTTTAACTACTGCTGGAAAACAACATACTCTAGTGTCAGATACCATCATCCTCAATGAGGACTGGAATGTTGAGCACACAGACTACAAATGAAACATATAAAAGCCAAGATGTTTAGAATTCTGACATAAATTTGGACACAGTTGTCAAAAAACCTTATAAACTCGCTTGGATAGAAATCTTTTGGAGCACTTTTGATATGATCAAGTCCTCCAAAAGAATTTAACTTGGGATTAGGACAAACAAAGATAACAAGGCTCTGAAGTGATCTTCCCCAAAAAATTTAAATCCCTCTGAAATTGAATTATGCCGAGAGCACTTCTCAAGCATAACCATGGTGTTACCATGGAGATTAACACAACCAGCAAAGGCTGGAAAATGTCAACACTGTGTGAGGACTGCCTGCCCAATCTTTTGCCAATACTCAAACATCACAAGTAAAGCAAATCCTAAATTCAAATCTCAGAACTTGAATCAGTGCTTTATTATTTCTTTATATGAAATGCAGTAATTGTTTTACTATGACTAGAGTATCCAGGGAATTATAATTCTTCAGAGAATGACAATCTAATCCCTTGCGTTGATCTTGGTATGGAAGGGAAATATCCTTCACCAGGGGTTACAATTTATCACCCAAACAGGGACACTTCAAACTGAACTGGAGTGGCAAATTTTGCACTTCAGCTCTAGACCTTTATGCTGTGTATTTGCCACAGAGAGCAGTGTGCCCCCTTGTCCCTTCTGCTCTCACTGCTGTGTAAGACAGAGTGATTCAGCCCTTGAGAACTGACAGGAGTAGCAGGAGTAGTATTGTGCAGAGGGTAGTATTTTCAGAGGGCTTCTTTTTTTCCCAATACAGCAGATGCACTCTCACCATCTCTGTAAAGCCTACAATATTTCTTATGTCTTGTTTGTGCAAGAAGAATGTAATCTGATATAAATTCCTTGGTCTGCAAGTGCTTTAAGACTCTTAGAATATTATCCACTAAGTGCAAGTGGTTAGGACGAAAGACCTCTTAGGGAAAAAGACCACAGGTTTGTACTGCTGGATTTTACAGCACATAGGAATTTTGCTTTCAAAATTCTTGATGAAAAAATCATTTTTACATATTGCTTCTACTGACATACACATTGTAATTAGAAAACAACACTTTTTCATTTATAATTGTCCAAGAAATACTCGTATCCTTAAATTTATATCTATACACCTCTGTGATGCATATATTAAAAAAAAAACAAAAAAACAACAACAAACCACAACAGTGCTAGATATTTATGTGGGTTTCTTTTCCTGGAAAATCAAGTAATTTTTGAGTCAAGTAGGTTTTTCTTCTACTAACGCACCTAGAGATTCCAAAATATCCTTTATGTCTGCTATCAGGCAATCTAACTTGTAATTTTCTTTGTGAGGAGGAGCATCTGTTTCTCCATAACCTCTCAAATCCAGGGCCACCACTCGATATTCACTTTTAAATTCCCGCAATTGATGGCGCCAAGAATACCTAACAAAGGGGAAAAAAAAATTGGAGTTACAAGGTCAAGCATTATGATACCAAAAACACAGTCAATGCTTTTTCACCCAAATATGTGAGGGAAAACTAGCATGGCTTTTTTTGCTATGAGATTCTTTTTCCTTTCTGTGCTGTGCTGATGGTCCTTTGTGGCTGCAGTAGTTTTGTGCTCCTGTCTTGAATTCCCCAGTAACAAAGTGCAGCTGCCAGAAAAGGGGCATGGCCAGAGCCAGGGTTTTTCAACAATTCCTGGGTCTGGCACAGTCCCTTTGCTGCAAAGGAAGCAGGCATAAACCTGAATATAGGGAGGACTACTCTGTTTTATCCTTGGAGCCACAGTAGCATCAAAAAAGTAAGATCTGAAAAGCTTTTTCTTCTCCCTGGCTTACTCACAGGCATGTTTTGGATTTTTTTTTTCCTATTCAGAAAAAGCATGTCAAATAATTTGCACACTAAATAAACCAAAGAAAGAAATCCAGTTAAAAACAAATGATCTTGCTGAAGTTTATAGGATTTATCCTGTGTACGGTTTCATGTGTCTCTGTACCAGAACTGTTGAGGAACAAACTCTCTTAATGTGTTGGTACTAATCAAAGCCTTGTGTTTCTATGGAAAAGAGTGATAGCATTACATACATCAAAAGGCATACAAAGGCAAGAACTTAGGCAAAGGCCTGGGCTATTCCTCACTCCGTAACTGTATGTAGTGGTTGGGTGTGTGTTATTAAGCAAAAATAAAAAGAAAATGGTGGGTCTTAAACTGCAAGAACTACCTGTCCTTCAGCTCTTATTGAAACCAAATAAATTTTAGAGTAGTCAGTACCAAGACAGACATGGTCTTATCTTACACTGTACTAGAAAGATGTATGAAAAACATGATCCTTCTGGACATGTATAACAGTGACTGTATTCCTCTGTGCTAGGATCTAGCTTTTACTGCTGCTTATTTCAAGTTTCAGAGAAAGGATATGTAACATTTGGATCAGCGGTGGTTTTAAGTATGATGCACAGAATTCTACCTTGATGCAAACAGTGTCTGTATCAGACCATGGGCTCTTCCACTTTACCTTTGCCTCCAGCCTATCAGGGACTTTGAACTTAAATAAGGTTACAGGAACACTCAGTGATAGGAATCTGTATTCATATAAACAAAACAGTCAGAACATTTTCATTTCAGTGCTATATAATGCAAAGACAAGGTTTAGCTGAGATGCCCAGGAATGAATTTTTTAAAGGTGTTATATAATGACTTGGAAGCTGAATTTGCCATGGTAACTGTTGCAGCTATTCTATATACTTCAGTAAGAAAGAACCAGGCCCATAAATAAATAAATCAACTATTTTTGTTTTCAGAAAATGTCTACAAGCTATTCTCATCCTCTGTTTTCACAACATCCATCAGTCTCCAAATATCTAACCTATCAAATGGGTAGGTTTTATATTCAAATAAACCCTTTTATTCCATATGATATATAGCCATTGGAAAACTGCTTTGCAAGCAGAATTTGGAAATGCTGTGAATGCCTCCACATTCATAAGGTTTAATCTATTTTGAGACTTTCTGATCACATTTTTTCTAAAGGGCAAGTAGTATAAAATGTAGCATCTCACACACAACTTTTAAGTATCACATTACATTTAAGTAATGTATGCCTCATCACAGTATGTCCAGTTTCAAGTATTTTATTATTGACCTTCCACAATATATTGATTTTCAAGTTCTTATGCATCTAAAACACTCATTGG